AATCTCGCTAGATATCGCGTGATCTGACTCGGAATCATACAAACGCTTTTTTGTACATAGATTTCAAGCAGGGATTTGACAACGACAACAACATAAGACTACCAGTGATTACATTGGTTACGATAAATTAATCAACATTCCTGCCATGGAAAAAGAGATACAGCTTTTAAGAATTAGATGAAAACATTTAACATCGTCTTTAAAAGCACAGAAGCTCACATCTTTATCAATGAAGTCAATAGATATCACTCGATTGACCAAGTCATGTGGCACATCTCTACTTTCGTTTTCGATCATCGCGGGAAATCTGATTTATATAACGAAAGATACGAACTTGTTTTAGATCTAGATTAAACCATGCCATCATTTGTTTTGTTTAAAAACTGAATGAACATTCAGAATTATTGCTTCTAGGCTATTTCAGCAAAGATCACTCTTCAAAAGGCTAAGTAAAGCAGCCAATCCAAGCAAAATGATGAGCATGAAAAATATTTGAATTTGTACAATTTATGTCAAACTTAAGGTGTTTCTGTCTTCTTCTTTGCTGTTGATATTTAAGATTAATTAGTGTAGGTACCTTATTTCATTTAAGGCTTATAATATACATGTATATTACATGAAAGACATCGATAATCCAAGCGTTAAACAACACGCGCGCAATGCTACCGCTTTTGAGGTCTGAATCTCCCTCTTTTTCATCACAATAGGTTAACATGTATGCATATATCTATAAATCCATGTGCAGCATTACGTTACGTTGTTTAGTTTTATTAATTTTAAAAACAAAAATAGAAGTACATATGTTCATCATTTATCTTTTATGGCATCAATTTATGTCTCAAACCCAGTTTCTTTAATACAGTACTGCTTCTAGGAAAATCTTACTGATACATATAAAAATACCAGTCTATGAAGCAAATGGCGATTTATCTTTAAGAAGCCGTGAATACAGTTTGTATAATACATTATTGGGAGGCAAAATCTTCCTCAGGACACTTTCAGTTTCTGGAGAGCATAAGTTTAGGACAGTGATGTTTTCAAACCAACATTTCATAAAAGCAATTGGCTTATGATCATTTCTAACAATGACTACAACAACATGGACCATAATGTTTTCATCAGAGAGAATCTTCTTCACAACATTCAAAGATTTTCCAATTGTATCTCCTCTTAGCGAAGCACCAGTTGCTATCTGAATGAGATACAACACACAGTTTCCTTCACCTTTTGCCATCTTAGGGGGTGGGGGGTACTCGACTTTCCTTTCATGGACATACACCATATAATCAAATCCAATAAAGTTTTGGACTTTTGGATACAACACAAATACATCATGAGATTCCATAAGCTTTTTCGCATTTCTTGCAAAAATTGCAACATTTTTCTCAAGGCCCTTCAAATCTTTGGGAATATTTTTTCTCACATATTCATCCCATAGGGTATCTTGCATATAAAATTTCTCCTCTGGAAGCAATATTAACTTGGCGTTTGTTGTTTCTGGTACCTCAAATTTATTCTTGGAGGGCTGGTAAGATGTTCCAGCAACCATGACTTGGGGTAGAATTACCAACTGCTCTTTTATCTGATTCTCAACAAATACTTCTTTAAACTGCTTTCTTGCCCCACCTATTTCAAAGATAAAAGCTAAAATTTCATCTGAGCTGGCTTCCTTTAGAACATTTTCAAGGCTGTATGGGAGTCTTTTCCGCCATTCATTTGCAAGGTGAGGAACCAAATGTCGTAATTTAACATATGAACTCCCTTCACTTATATCAAGCTCTATCATTTGTATATTATTTTCCGCTTCATCTTTTGTGGCTATACAGTACTGCTTCTCAAAAATATTGATGGCTATGTACAATTGCTTGCTCTGTTCAGATGTTATGATGACTTCTTCCTTATCTGGAATGATGTGGAGGAGAATTCTGGTATGAAGTTCAAAGTCATCATACAGTTTATCAGCACCCCTGTCACATCCCTTGAAATTGACCACTTCTTTCTTTCTGTCAATGTCGTATTGACTTAAAGCATCAAGTGCGGTTTGTCCAACCCTGCTGTATTTGAACATGTACATAAGCACAGTATGGAGCAATCTGGGTGTCACTATATAATGCTTTGAAAAGAGTTCATACACTTCCTTTGCTTTCCCCAGCAGTTCTACATCTTGACAATTCAGCAACTTCAAGGAACCTTTCCATATTTGCTGAAAACACTCCTTGCTAAGCTGAAAGTCTCTTCCAAAACTATTACCCCTGTAAGCACCGGCAGTAAATCCAGTCTCAATCAGAATGAATTTACTCAATTTATCTTCAACAGCTGCTTTGATTTTGTGCAGGTAATGCAAATTTTGAATTGATACATGGTCAATAATCAGACAATCACCAGCATTAAAATTATCAGCATAAGATGTAAAAGTTTCCAAACTTTTATCCCTTCTTTCAATTTCATGAAGGTCAACATAGTGAACTCCATGGTCATTCTTTTTTCTGCATTCCCGAATATAGTACAACACTGAAGATGTAAATCCTAGACCCCTAATTCCACATTTATAAGTCCATAAAGTTCCTTCCAGTCTGTGTAATTTTAAAATGCCAATGAATGCATCGTGAAATTTAGTTTTTACAAAATACCTTCCAGCTTCAAAATCTGCGATATTGGCAAATAGTTTCATTTCCTCATCTTGAACTTCTCCCTGTAGGACACTGCCCTCAAAGGAATCAGATGTATCCTGCTAAATTAAAGAAATATTGAGTTAATATTAGGAATATGTATATTTTCCGTCCGTCGACGTCACTTCCGGTCAAACAGGAAGTAGCAAAAAATGGCTTACTTTTGCAATTTTAAACATAGATTTGGAAGATTTCAACCATTAGAGAGTTCATTTTTCTTTTTTTTTTTAAAAATAAAAGTTACTTCCGGTCAAACAGGACGGAAGACCTACTCATTGCTTTGCAATGAGCTTTGCTCTAGTTTTAATGTTATTCTGCTGTTGACTTTTAATGCTTCATACCTATGACTTTTCATTCAAACTTAACATAGCTCAATGTTTTCCAGGGGGTCTGTATTTTCTAGGGAAAGGGGGGGGGGGTAAGGTCAAGATTTATAATTTAAAATCCAATACCTCTGCAAATTCAAGAGGGAGGGGGGTGTCCGGACCCCCCAGTTACATCCCCGCATGGCAAACCATTTCAAAATGGGTTGATATAGTGATGAGGTCAAACTATGTTTCTTACCTCAAGGATTTTTTAAAAGTGACAAGCGTCAGGTTTTCTGATTGATGAGAAATAGCCAGTTTTTTAATTGTACTGTCCAGACTATTTTTTTTTTTTGGGTAGTGGTGGTGGTGGCGGAGAAGGGGGGGTGCATACATATAATATATGTGTATGTATAACAATTTACGTTTGTTCTAAAACAATTTCAACAATCTATAAATATGGAGAACAATTTCAACAATATATAAATATGGAGCGAAACATCCTAGGGTGAAACAACCATTCTAAGAGTGCACCCAGATTGGCGCGAAATTACCTCTCATGTAAGCGGGGTTTATAGTATGATTGTACTCTCTCTTACGGTTGCACCGTGTAAAAATAAATCTGATATATTAAGTAGTTATGATGACACACTTACCATGCTAAAGTGTTAGAAACGTTTGGTCCTCCTAGCTAGTGACAATACCTCAAGTCAGCTATATTCGATGACCGATTGATTCGACCCATAAACAATTTGGCCCTTCCAAATTGCAGGTGCTTGCGAGAGAATATTTATTTCATACTCTGATCATGCTGATACAATGAATTTTTATAAAAAGCTAGTTTTATCTTAGATTTTGCATTTTTCATGTGTAATATTTTGTGAATATGTCATAGATTAAGAAAAATATTTAATTTAAAGAAAAGTCAAAGAACCTTGGGGTACGGAACATGAGAGGAAGGGGGTGGGGTGGGGGGTGGGGGTCCTGTCCCCAAGCACCTGTTTGCCAAATCGAAACGTATACTTGTGGCTTGGTCAATCGAGTGACTTCCATTGACTTTATTAATAAAATTGCGAAGTCCTGTGGTGGATACTGCTAATTAAAAAGCCTCAACAGGTCTGTTTTATTCTGAAAAAATACTTTCTCGTGGACATCACAAGTCTTATTTTTTTTATACATGACCCACAGGCACTTGATTCTGTAATAAACATTTCTAACCCATAGTATAATAATTCCACGTGTTATTATTATACTATGGGTTAAAAAATTATAACAGTACCTGAGATAAAGCTCATTTGCATAAAAGTGTGTGTTAAATACTTAAGACTGAGTACTAAAAATTTGAGGTGTTGACTATGTTAATGAACAAGACAAGCTAATTACTATGAGATATCCCGGTAAGTTAAGGGACGATCATTGGATTCTGATGACGAAGCCGGAAAGGGGGGGGGGGGGTCCGACTGACGAGTCAAATTATTCTCACCAGTCGAGGACGTCACGGATTGTTTATTACCAAAATCTGCCACTCCCCTTTTTTCAGAAACAGAGGCTCAACCTCTTACGCTACCGTACTTTGTTAGAGCGAAATACCATCTTCCTTTGCAATCAATTTTCATTTACACATTACCATACCTTCCTGATTTGACTACACTTTCAGCTAAAAGTGGAAGGACCAACTAGCCCTTCAATCATTATTTTCAATACATGTAGTAACAACTAATGTTTAGAAAAAAAATGCCCCCCCCCTTTTTTATGTTACTTCCTGTATTATAGTTTATTATATAGACAGAAAAAAATGACGGTAGTTCAAATTTATTATGTATCTTTTATAATCTGTTTTAATGGATGAACTGATATGATTGATATGGTTACCTCATTTTATTATGGGACACCCCCCCCCATATATATATATATAACAGTAATGAAAACTCTCCATTTTCTCAAGATTTCAGAGAAATGTATCCAAGAAATCTGGAGAAAATGAAAATTTCATATTAATCAACGTATAAACATAAGGACACAACAATTTCAACATATACTAGTTTATTACATGTATTAAGTACAATGAAATTTGCAGAAATATTGTACTTATTTTACAGATAAGTACTTGTATGGGTACTGTAGACATTGTAAAAGCTGACCTAATATACATTGCTACTTATTTCAACTAAGGATAAACTTTGAAAAACAACAGTAACAGATTGCCAAAGTCCCATGCGGTGCAAATGATAGAAAAGCACTTAGAATTCTAATACACCAATTGAAAGCTTATTAAGAACAGTTGATCTTAATAGACAAACTGTACAGAATTCTTAACTTACAAGTAAGTTTAAAATTTTAGGGCACATCAATTATTATAAAACTAAATATATTTATATATATATATATATAAAAAATCAAAGAACAAATATTTCTAATATTTCATATTTTCTAAAAACATGTAATTGTACTTTTAAAATATGAGAAATTTTTAAAAAGGTAAAAAGAATATAAAACTAAACTTAAGTGTCAGTGCATGTATTAAAAATAATACCTATACATGAAGGAAGGTCTACAGATAATGACAGTAAATTATGATTGACAGAAATATACATCAATGATAAACAACAACAACATAGGCACAAACTTAAAACCCAGAAATATCAATAAATATTAACAGAGATCATTTCAATAAATCCTCCATCTTAAACATGGATTTCAGACAATAACATGCAAATGTAATATATGTACATCACTACAGAAACAACTATATGTACATGTGAATTAAATTACATATACACATGTACCAGTATGTTACAAAGAACAGCAATCCTAATGGGACTTACATCAGTAATGGCATGCTCAACTGGTGCAAAGCTAATCTACAATGTATAGCATATATATACATGCAATTCCAAATATGTGTATCTGTAACTATGGTAAGTTTCAATGATTAAATTATGCCAATTTAAATTCTAAAATTTTTGTATTACAGCTATGGCCAAGACAATATCTTTCTTGCCTTAATTTTTGAAAAATTATCTTTACAAACAGACCCAATAAGCATATTTAGATAACGTTATAATTTTTACAATATGTACATTAAAAGGTTACTTGGGAATATCAGCTTCCAATGGATTCTTCAGTAAAAATCATGGCAAGAATTTATTATTGTGGGAAAAGGGTGATTTCTATTCAATTGCATTTTCAAACTTTGTTTAATCATGACATATTAAGCAATGAAAACATAAATATGATTATAATTATATGCAGTCTTTGTTCATTTCTATGGTGTGGCTAATCAGGAGGAGTGTGGGTAATGAGGAGAGGACACAACATTCAACAGCAGGTGCCCCCCTCCCCATCAAAAATCTCCACATGAATACTGCTGCCTTTGTCTCACACGGATCCTTCAGACTTATGCCAAACGCACCAAGTCATCCAAGTCAGAAAAGTTGCTGGAAAGTTACCAAGAATATTCTTAACAGGAAAAAAAACACAACAGTTTCAGAACCTACATGGTAATGGTAGGAACAATTTTTCAGTGTTCACAGAGTACTGCTTGTTAATCTGATCCTGTAGGAATTCCTACTCCTTGCACACTACCAAGTTTTTGTGAACACATCAAACTACAGTATCTTTTGGTTTTGCAGCCAGTAATAGTTCTTTAATTTTCTCTGGTGTCGGATTCCAGCGTTGAAATCCAGCATCATTTTGTAGAAAAACCACAAGTGTTCCATGGAGAGATTTCACATTCATTTCATCTCTGAAAATAAAGATTTAAAAAATAAAAAAATTATAATTTTCAAAAATACATGTACATAACTGTAGATTCCTAAATATACACGTGGAATTAATTATCACATAATTTCGTGAGAAACACCACTCACAAAATAAAATTTCTCACTTTCATCTACAGTATTTATTTTTTTGGGGGGAGTGATGAAATCTATGTAATATCTCTTTATCAACCATCCATTTGCCAATTATTATTCTCCTGATATGACGGTAAAGAGTCCTCTCGCTATAATAAGTTGTTGCGAAAAATAAGGAATCTACAGTATAATATCTGTGTAAAGAATTTCTGTTTTGAGGCAAGGGAAGATAATTTGAAATTCACAATTTTTGTTATTCTTGCCCCAAAACGGTATACATGTACCAAAATTTGTTAAGATTGGTTCAGTGGTTCAAAAGAAATAGTTGAAAATAGACAATTGTTAGTAGACCACACAAGGTGGACAAAACACCATGGACAAAAAACAGCAACTAGCCAATTAGACCTAAAAAATTTAGTGCTAAATAGTAAATAATACCGGGTAATTTTTTAAAGATGCTGATGTGACTTACTTTGGACAAAAATGTTGAAAACCACTCCGGTACTCATGTTCATAGGGTGGCAACACAACAGACTTCCTTTTAAATCTGAAAGAACAAGCACAATGAAAAACAACCCCTATAGTGATTCAATCTAACTAAAATTGGATGTACCCAATCCGCTGCTGCTTCTCTAACAGTTAACAACATCCCATTTGGAGCCATGTCAGAGTAACCTTTCCATTAATCAATGAAATCACCACCTCCGAAATCTTAGATTATAGTTTGAATGTGTTTGTTTTTCACTGCCATTCCTAATCCCTCGAGGAATTTCGCAGTAAACAAAATATGTATGGCAAAGGCCTTGCTATGTATGAATGTGAGGTGCAGGATATCTAGTATACACTAGACAAAATTGCTAACGCCCCACTTCAAATTCATCTATGTGAATTGAACATTTGCCTAATCGGTATTAGTATATATAAAACGTCATATTTTCCAATTCAATGGGATTGGCAAATGTCTTTGAGTCAGAACAAAACCCAAAAACGACCTTCTTGCCCAAAACCAATTTCCCGACATGCTTTGCGTACCTCATTTTTGCCAAGATATATGCATTGCTAATTACCGGTGATGGTCCTTGAGGTTACACTAGAAACAGTCTCCCAGTTAAAAAAATAAAATAATATGCAGCGATTGACTATTATATCGCCTGCTAGTCATCCAATGCCTTGGGGGCCATACCCAGTCCACTCAACTTCCGGTTGCCCCAATTTTGTGGAACGACATTGAAATTGTGGTGTGGTGTTTACTTAATGGCTTGGCTATCTAGAGTGAACATTTTTATGTCTACTAATCTATCTGCAACAATTTCTCACCAGAAGAATAAATACTGTTTTCATTGTTTTAATTTTTTACATATCTTTCCAAAGGAACCCCCTGCAGACACCATACTGTCTGTTTTATCACGCTCTCCTGGGATCAAATGCTGCATACGGTATAATTTTATTTCTGATTTTCTAATTAGTACAAACATAAAGAACAAAAATGCAAAGAAAAAATTAGAAATTTATCCCTCCAAATTAGTATTGACATGATTTTCACGTTTTCTATGAAATGGTCACGCTTCATTTAACATTGTAGTTATTTATCAATTAAGACATTTAAATGCTTTATTTTTTGATTTTGTAACATAATAATATATCAAATACAACTTAAACAAGTTTTGAAAAGTAAAATATTAGATTCAATGTAAGACAGACTACTAAGCATAATAATGTTAAGATGTATCCACTAAATTAATATAGAATCATATACAGAAGCTTGAATCAGATTCGTCAAAATGTTCATGTTTATTAATAATCAATTGGTTTCTCTGACATGACCCCGATTGGGATATTGTTACAGTGTAGATGTTTGAGAAGCGGTAGTGGATTAGGAAATCTAATTTTAAACAGATTGAAAGTAATTATTCCTAACTTCATGCATACAAGTTTAAGTTCAGTACCTCATATAAGTAAAGGCAGAGAACCGCCTTCAAAAAATATTAAATTCAATGTGATTGACACTTACTTACTGGTCCCTGTGTATACCCTGTACACCATAATAATGTATACAGAAACTGTATTACTATGAAGTATACAGAAACTGTATTACTATGAAAATTTTATGTTGATGATATATGAATTAAATATACCTTTAGTATTTGAAAGTATTATAATATAATATGCATTTTAAAAAAATAAACTTTAGCACAAGTATAAAACTTTTTTTTTTTCAAATGAAATTTCGATATTAATTTTAATATGCTAAATGGTAAGCCTAAAGTGGAGATGTTATTGACAAAGTTCAGAGCAGCACTGTGTGAAGTAATTAAATTTTAAAATAATGTTTCCAATCATGGGTCACTTATTTTCCTTTTTTATTCAGTTAAGAATTTAAAAGCAATCTTTTTTAGCATGTTTCATGGTGACAAAATCTTATTGAGGTTAGGATAAACCTAGATATTTTTCTTAGTGAAATGTAGTTAACTCAACTCTCTTTTCGTTTTATTTATAGATGGGATCCTGGGGAGGAATCAATTTTAAAAGTCTAACCTGGTTGTTACAGGAGTTTTTTTTTAAATCAACACATACACTAACATCTAAAACTATCTTTATTTTAATCTTTGAATTTATAGTATGATAAAATAATAATTTTTTAAATGGGTAGGGGTATTTTCAAATTGTAAAAAATAAATCAAAGTAAAATTGAAAAAAACAACTTTTTACTACTAATTTTAAAATTGTCTCAAAATCCCCATCACAGGTAAAGTTTGACATCTGGGTATTTCACTGTGTATTAAATCACTTCCTGTGTATAGGGATTAGGAGACAGATGTTCACAGGTAGACTGCTAGCCCCCAAGGCATTCACACCTGTACAAAATAATCACCTGGTGGTAAAAAATCTCTGCCTTTAAATAATGAATACCAATAGTATAGGCTGTGATTTTGAAGTCCCTATTCACTTATTCTTTAACTATTTCATCCTCCTTGTCTACAATCCTTTGATACCTTGTACTTTATTCTCAATGCCATCAAATGTGAGATAATGAGGTTTGACTGTACTGTCTTCATTCATAAGCGCCTTTAAAAAGAAATTCCAGAAATATGTACCTGCTGGATTCCAGTCTTATGAGAGCCTCAGTTGGTGGGTCCCTCCACTCTGGGATAAACACACAAAATGACAGGGGTTCTTTAGACTCCTTCAGCAAATTCTGTGTTAAAGAAAATAAGGAAACATTAGCTAGCAACAGAAAACGCAGCATACATTATCATCAATTGAATGCCATTAAAACATGTTTGAAAAATTGCGGCATATACAGTATCTATGATATTCTAAAATACAGTGTTGTTTGGTTGATACAATGTAATCATGTTTGATAAAACATATGAACTTTGAATTTGAGTAAACCAACAACAATATCTCTACAATAATAACACAAAAACAAAATGTGTTTAAGAAACACTGATCTCCCATTATGGCAACTAAGTGCCAAAGTCGAAGGTCAAACTCATTAGTCAAGATATCAAAAACATTGGTACCCAAAGGGAAAGGTTGTGTCACAAGGAATATGTGTGTAAAATATAAAAGTTGTACATGTATTTTTTTTTCAAAAGTAGGTCAAATTCCAAGGTCAAGACATAAAGGTAAAAAAAAGGTATCTGGGTACTTCGAAAAGGTTTTATCACAAGGAAAACAGCTGTGAAATACGAAAGCCTTGCACCAAAAAAATGGTCAAGGTCAAACTATTCAATTTCATTTCAGTTTGTGCAATCTAAGCAAAGGAAATGAACGGAAACTGCAAATTTATTGGAATTTTTTCTAGGTCCAAGGGGATTAACTCTGTCAAAAATTGCGCGATCGTACCCAAAACAGAACTTGACCTAGATATTCATCTGATAAATCTGTATACTAAATTTCATTTCAGTATAATGTGCAATGGTTTCAAAGAAAATGAACAGAAGCTGCAAATAATAGGAATTTTTCTAAGTCCAAGGGGCATAACTCTGTCAAAAATGGTACGATCGTTCCCAAAACAGAACTTGGCCTAGATATTCATCTGATATATCTGTATACCAAATTTCATTTCAGTATTTGCAACGGTTGTGAAGAAAATGAACGGAAACTAAGTGGACCGACAGACCGACCAACCGAACGACAGACAGCAGCAAAGCAATTGCCCTCCCTTCTTCAAAGGGGGGCATAAAAATAATTGTGGTAGCTCCAGTATGCAAAGAATATTTTAAAGCACATCTTTTAAACCTTTTTCAAGTGAATTTGCTTCCCTTAATTTACCTCGAAATGGTCAACCATGGTTTCCATGAGTTCTTCACTGAATGGTGGATTGGCCTCAAATGACCCACTAATGGGTCTGAAGTTCAGAATAGGTCTACAAAAGTTGTTATCATATGAAAAGAAGAGGTAAACTTTGAATATCTATGTTTATTTTGCAAAACTATGAATGAAATAAACAATGAATTTGAATGCACTGTCATAAATGTATTTCACTTTGTTCATCAATGAGCGGATGCATACCCTCGGGATCCAAAGTAACCATCCGTATCTTCAAACGCTGAGCAGTACTGCTTGAAGTAACAATTCAGTGGAGAGGCAAAACACTCAAAAGTCACACCAAAAACTCGATGAAGACACTCAAATACTGAGACTGATAGAGCACCCTGTAAACCAAAGCCCTCATTTGGACCAAGGCCAAATAATGTCTGTAAGTAAACAACATCTCATAAAGAAACAATCTGAGTGGTTATCCATATACTAGTATTAGGATCTAGAAGAATATCTTATATTGCAATTGTAAATAAAATTTTATTGTTTTGTGTAATTAACAACTTACATGATATCTGCGTAGTAAACACCAGACGCGGCCCAGAAAATGGTCAAATCTGGGATCATCTCGACAATTTAATTTGTACAGTTGTTCCTGAAATCAAATATGCAATTTTATACGTGTATTATAAAATGTGGCAGTTTGAATCTGGTTGGATAAAACTGATCTTACTGTCTAAATTACACAGTAACATGAAACAGAAATTAGTCAGCCTAATGAATATATGGGAATCCATATCATTCCAGAAAAGGAGAAAGTACTGACAATTGTCAATCCTCAACATGTAAATATTTACATAACTAAATTAAATAATTTCTTCATATTTACATGTAGAAAAACATGTCTGTATAAATTTCTAAAAAGCTTAAAATCTATGATATACTTATCATTGATACAATCATTTACAACTGTATCTTTGTTTCAAGGTAATGGAAAGAAAAATTATTTTTGCATGAGCCCTTGCTGTTATTTGTTATACATGTACATGTGTGACAACATGATCCTGATGTGCCTGCCCTTTTTTGCGCATACTAGTAACACAAAAAAGTTGATTAATGTTCCAAGCTTAGTAAACAATTGTGTAAAAATTTTTATTACACATATCACATAATAATACATCATTTATCCCATGTCTATTGCACTAATGAAACCTACCAGTTTACAAAAATGTGAGCTGTTGAGTTTGAGTATTTCTCCATTCCATTTGAGTGTGTGGGTTTCTTTATCCTGCATGAGTTCTACAGTTGATAGTCTGGGACATGGAACACACATTTGGATTGGATAACACAACACTTTTCTGGGATTAATGGGATCTGGGAATTTGGCCGGTTCTATGAAACAAGAAATCATAATCTTGTCAAGTACTAGTATTTGAAGACAGCAATTTCTAACAGTATTCTTTTCTCCACCATGAATTTCTGACATTATCATGTGAACATACAGTAACCATTATCATTAACATTTAGGGCTGTCACAGGTACCCGAAATGACCCGGAACCTCGGAACAATTAGTTTGGGTCGGGTTCGGGGTTCTGTTTTTCCGAAATTCGGTTTGGTTCCGATTTGAACAACAGAGTAGGTTTTACCAAAGGTAGCCAAACACAGTTTCGTATAAAATCCAGGGGGTTTTTCCCAGAGAGAAACATGCTGGGTAGGGATTTTCCTGCTATTTATAGGAGTCTAGATGGAAACTGCGTCTTTTTTTTAGCTCACCTGAGCCGAAGGCTCAAGTGAGCTTTTCTGATCACATTTTTTTGTCCTGTCCGTCTGTCTGTCTGTCTGTCTGTCTGTCCGTCTGTAAACTTTTCACATTTTCGACTTCTTCTCAAGAACCACTGGGCCAATTTTGACCAAACTTGGTACAAAGCATCCTTGGGTGAAGGGGAATTTAAATTGTTAAAATGAAGGGACATATCCCCTCACAAGGGGAGATAATCAAGAAAAGACAAAAATAGGGTTGGGTCATTAAAAAATCTTCTTCTCAAGAACCACTGGGCCAGTAAAGCTGAAACTTATGTGGAAGCATCCTGGGGTAGTGTAGATTATAAATTGTTCAAATCATGACCGCTGGGGGAAGGGCGGGGCCACAATGGGGAATCAAAGTTTTATATAGAAATATATAGGAAAAATCTTTGAAAATCTTCTTCTCAAGAACCACTGGGCCAGAAAAGCTGAAACTTATGTGGAAGCATCCTAGTATAGTGTAGATTCTAAATTGTTCACATCATGACCCCCGGGGGAAGGGCGGGGCCACAATGGGGAATCAAAGTTTTACATAGAAATATAGAGGAAAAATCTTTGAAAATCTTCTTCTCAAGAACCACTGGGCCAGAAAAGCTGAAACTTATGTGGAAGCATCCTGGTATAATGTAGATTCTAAATTGTTCAAATAATGACCCCCGGGGGAAGGGCGGGGCCACAATGGGGAATCAAAGTTTTATATAGAAATATATAGGAAAAATCTTTGAAAATCTTCTTCTCAAGAACCACTGGGCCAGAAAAAGTGAAGCTTATGTGGAAGCAGTCTGGGGTAGTGTAAATTCTAAATTGTAGGAATCATGACCCCTGGGGGAAGGGCCGGGCCATTATAGGGAATCAAAGTTTTACATAGAAATATATAGGAAAAATCTTTGAAAATCTTCTTCTCAGGAACCACTGGGCCAAAAAAGCTGAAACATATGTGCCCATGGAAGGATCATGGGGTAGTGTAGATTTCAAAATGTCTAAATTATGATCAGTGGTGTAGGGTGGGGATGCATTATGTATAACAAGGGGGAAATCTGGTAAAGAACAGAATGGTCAAAGCTTCTCAGGTGAGCGATGTGGCCCATGGGCCTCTTGTTTGTTTTTATTCGCATAAAGTAGAGTCTTATCTTAATATTTAAAGAAAAAAAATGTGCATTCATTTTTAGAAAAAAAAAATTGTGAGACTTTTTAATAGGGGGAGATAACTCCGAAAACATCCGGTTTTCACATGTGCAAAATTGCATGAGTCAATTAGCAGGTAATGTAGCTCTTTCAAGAGGTGGAAAATGTACCCTAAAAACACACTAAAAGAAAACCTTAGGACTTGTTCTGGGAAATGCATACAACTTATTTTGTCTGATTTTTTCTGTTTTTGTTGAGCAGGGGGGTTAAAAATGCATAGGTGCACTGAAAATAGATGCATAAACAACCCAATATCCCCCATATTTCAGGTGTCAAATACCCCCTAGTAGTAAATGATGAATGTATTATAGTTGGATATTTATAAAATTCACAATTTTATCTTTCCATTGATATGCAGAAGTCTATGTAACAAGCCTCCATTTTATTTTTTTATAGGGGTCAGTTTTGCTTGTCCCTCACCAAGTAACGTCCTGATAACGTCATACATAAAACTGTGTTTTGCACCCATAAAAATGGTGTCTAAAACAAGAGATTTGTTAGTACATTGCCATTATAATGTGATTCAAATAAGTTGGTGCAATTGTTTTCTAGTCAGGAAACTACTTTAAACTAGTTATTATGTTGCTTTTTCTTAGATTAAATGAAAAAAATTTTTTTGTTGCCTATAATTCAAATCATGAGCTTTTATTCCATTGTATACCCGAACTGAAAAAACCCAAAACGGAACCTAAAAAAATTGGATCCAACCAAAACAAGAGGCCCACGGGCCTGGTCACCTGAGTATTGTGTAACAACTTTCAAAACAATTAAATTTGGTTCGTGTTTAAACCGGAGGCCATGAAATTCACAATTTACAATTTTGAAAGAGGCACCATTGCTTATCATAATTATTAACTTAGCATGCTTACTCTATTTACTTAATACCCAGAGGTAGATCAGAGTAACAGAGAAAATGCACTTCCACTTTATAACCAGTTGTGCACCTCACCCCAAAGGAACCACTGACCTAGGGCCATATATTTCAAAATTTTGCAAATTTAATCATAAAATGGTTGATTAATACCAAAGAGCAGATTTCAAAGCATTAATTTATTTTCAGGCTATGTAACCCCCCCCCCCCCACCTTTGACACTGGGGGCATTAAAAACCACTTTGCAAGATGCACCTTTCTTCATCATAAATATATATATACTTGGATCATTGGCTTAAAACCCAGAAGCAAAGAAAAATATTTACAAAGAATAAATGTATTTTTACTATATAATCAATAGAGCCCCGACTTAACACCAGAACTCCTGACCCTGGGGCCATAAAATTCACAATTTTGGAAGAGGCACTCTTGCTCATCATAACTATGTGCTTAGTTAGCTAATCTAATACCCAGGAGCAGAGAAGAAGATTTTCAAAGAAATAATGCATTTTCACTATATAATCTATAGGGCCCCGCCCTAACACCAGAACCCCTGACCCTGGGGCCATAAAATTCACAATTATGGAAGAGGCACTCTTGCTCATCATAACTATGTGCTTATTTAGTGTATTTAATACCCAGGAGCAGAGAAGAAGATTTTCAAAGAAATAATGCATTTTCACTATATAATCTATAGAGCCCCGCCCTAACACCAGAACCCCTGACCCTGGGGCCATAAAATTCACAATTCTGGAAGAGGCACTCTTGCTCATCATAACTATGTGCTTAGTTAGTGTATTTAATACCCAGGAGCAGAGAAGTAGATTTTCAAAGAAATAATGCATTTTCACTATATAATCTATAGAGCCCCGCCCTAACACCAAAATCCCTGACCCTGGGGCCATAAAATTCACAAATCTGGAAGAGGCACTCTTGCTCATCATAACTATGTGCTTAATTTGTTTATTAAATACCCAGGAGCAGAGAAGAAGATTTTCAAAGAAATAATGCATTTTCACTATATAATCTATAGAGCCCCGCCCTAACACCAGAACCCCTGACCCTGGGGCCATAAAATTCACAAATCTGGAAGAAGCACTCTTGCTCATCATAACTATGTGCTTAGTTAGTGTATTTAATACCCAGGAGCAGAGAAGAAGATTTTCAAAGAAATAATGCATTTTCACTATATTATCTATAGAGCCCCACCCTAGCACTAGAACCCCTGACCCTGGGGCCATGAATTTCACAATTTTGGTAGAGGACTCAATGCTCATTACATTCATGCCAATAGTTTGCCTGCTTGATGTCCAGGAGTAAAGAAGAAGATTTTTAAAGATTTCATTAATTTTAGTTGTTTTGGCCCCACCCCTCAGGCCCCAGGGGGGCGGGGACCATGAAATTCATAATTTTTGTTCCCCTCCACCCATAGATGCTGTATACCAAATTTGGTTGAAATTGGTTCAGTGGTTTCAGAGAAGAAGCTGAAAATGTTCAAATGTTAACACACGACACACGACGACGGACGAAAACGGATAGCAATAGGTCACCTGAGTTACTCAGGTGACCTAAAAAATTTGGAACCGTGACAGACCTAATTAACATATCATTGACAACTTACCCTTGATTCCATGCTCCTTCAGTAGCTGCCAGTGGAACTCGTGGAGTTTGCGGACACTCTCACATGACATATTGTACATCTTACAACAGATCCCTTCTACAGAGGACTTGGCTGTCTCTGTCAGGTGAGGCTGACACTGCCTCTTTAAGTGGGCTAGTCTTTCCTACAAAAAAAAATCAATGATGTTTTGGTCGTTTTCCTAAATACATAAAACATTCACCAAAAAACATGAGTTGTTTTGCTTTCAAAAATGTGAACTAAACCACTCTAGTATCTCTTTCCAGGTGAAAACTCTATGACTGGCTACAGTTATTCATTATAAATATTCTGTTTCTATTTAGTTTTGATATGATCTTGCCCTTACCAGGTAGTCTTCATATGAAGCAGCCCCTTGTTTCCTCAGCCATGTGAATGTCTCCTCTACATTCCATTTCACAATCTTCCTGCTATCAGAGGATGCGCTCCTGAAATATGCATTTTATGTTTAGAAATAATTCCTTGGATGTTTAAACTTACATCAATGCAAAACTCCCTTTTTTCTCTCCACATCACAATAATTAAGTGACAATGATGTATCTTTCAAACCACAGGGGTTCAAATTTTTTTTTGTCATGGTCAAGTCCAGGACTTCAGTGATTGGGATAAGCTAGGGAGTAAATGTGACAATGGCGCACTCCAAGTCAGTGTCAATGTGACATTTCAAAATTCAATGCGCCAAACAGACTTTTTAATGGGACATTTCCCAGTTACAAACTTGCAATTGATTACTTGCTGTTAGAATTTCAGTTGACTTGACTTAATTGAAATTGTCAAATTATTGAATGACAACATTAAAAGATACAAAATTAGTATATCTAAATTCACAAGTGTGAGAAAATAAACGCTGCAAATTAATTTCAATTCTTTATTTTTGGTCTCCGATGTTTGACATCTTTAAAATGATTTAAAGCCTGGTTTAGATCTATACTGCTTCCCTCCGATTCATGTTAAATTTTCGTTTTGGTTTTTCCTCCGAGGCTACATCAGTCTTACTGCCAGATTCATCTCCATTCGTTCTGTCAGCATGTTATACTTCTTCCGTGTCATTTTCTACCGATTTACTTGAATTCTGTTGTTAGGATTGTTAAAATTAAGAAAAGTCTGCCATTTATCAGTACGAGGTATTTTCTTAGGCAGCATGCTGCACGCCTGACACCAGTTTAATTCGTGCGCATTAGCCAATCATAAAACACGTAACTGTTTGATTAGATACTGGAGAAAAGAAAGTCATAAGAACGCTTTAATTGAAGGACATTAAATACTATTTTATCAAGCGTAAATTGACAGCGATTGTTTTGGGAAATACTACAAGCGCTTGGGGGAAAGCTCAAAGTTTAAAAGTATGTACATGTAGTGCATGATCATATATGCGCCACGATGGCGCAGTGATTTTAATTTTAATGTGACATTTTGAAATTTAATGCGACTATGGCGCAGGGCACGTGCTTATCCCAATCACTAGGACTTAAAGAGTAAATTTTAAGCAAGTCCGAGGAAGAAATTTCAGAGTCCATATTTACCTATACATGATTAAATTTATGTTACTTATAATTTATTTTCATTTGTTGCATTGAATGAATAAAGACTATATGTACAAAACATTGTTTTCGTATTGTCATTGTAATCAAGCCACGGCCTATCATCACGCCAGTGGCTTTAGAATTCACGAACTCTTTTCTTGTCATAGGTTCCGTCTTTGGAATTGTTATTTTGATCCCCTGCTTCCTGTTCCTCAAGGAGTCTTTTATTTGTTGTTCCTTTTTTAGCATTACTGCTGGTAAAACCAAAATTTAACAAACTCATTGCCATTTGTCAAATAGGAGGAATCATGAGGAATTGCGTAAAAGCAAGTCTAACCGTAATGGAAAATAAAAAGACGGATTGTATTTTTGAAATGTTCGTAATGTTTTATGGGTATTTTAACGCCCACAAACTCACATTTTTACTTAATACGTTTGAGAATTTGCTTTATTTTTAGCTTTACGATCATATTTTTAACTTAAAAAAAAAAGATAAACAAGAAACATAGCCAAGTCCCAGGACTTTCACAATAATTGAGTGACAAATTTGTTAGTCCGGGACGTCGGGCTTGAGGAATTTTGAACCCCTGAAACCAGCAATTTTATAATATAAATTGGCAAGAATCTTCAAATATCAACTTTTTTCTAATGAATAGACTAATTCTTTGAAAAATTGACATATCTTAAAGTGTGCAAACAGACCTTGTTTCAATCATTCTTTTAGCAGACTCAGCATACTTAAAGAGCTGTTTGCGTGCATCCCCTGTATACTTAGGCTTGACCAGTTTGACGGGTATGTCATTCATGATCTCTCTGTACATAGACTGAGAAACTTCTGGGGTACACTGAGAGGGCAGCATGGGGTCCTTCCCTCGATCAACAACCTTTCTTTCTAACAGCCAGCGATTAAAGGACTCCACTGGGGCATCAATTCCTGATATATAAACCATAAATTGTAGCTTACAAAATTTAAGCATTTAAGTTTGAAACTCATGATTTTTTCAACAGAAAAATCATTTTTTTTTTTAAAGAGTATCAAGTTTATTCAGAAAAATCTGGGATTTGAGCTCACATTTCTCATGTCATATGTTATAAACAGACAAATCTTCTTCAGACATTATCCCTGACAGTATATGATTAATTAGGAGAAATCATACCCTCTCGTGTATGGCAGAGCTCCTGGTATTGTTGCCTTAGTTTATATACTAGCTGGGCTCTAAACTTCTCCACTTCTGGCATGGGAGGTGGTAAACAGCAGGGGACCCTCTCAAACATGACTGCATTTGTAGGGATGTCAAAATTCCAAAAAGGGCTGGAAAGCAAAATCATTCAGCATTTAGTTTTTTGTAAATGTTTATGACATACATGTTCATGTGTATTTTAACCTGATGCAATTTAATAAAACCTAAAATACTCCTGAATTCCCTCTCCAAAGATCTAATTCCATCTATCAATTGCTTATGCCTATGAGGCTGACTAGAGAAAATTGTGCAAAAGTCAAAATAAAATAAATCAAAAATTAATCTTCTTATAAAAAAACAATACCTTTTCTTTTCATCACAGCTTCTAACTGGAAAAAACTTACACAATATGATCATGCTGTTTCTAAAACATTCCTTAAAATATGCAAATGTTCATTGAACTTTTTACTTGTAGCCAAATGCAGGTCTTTTTGTTGGACTTTCAATCCCCTCCATACTTGCACGTCTTTTTTCTCCAACTTGTGACGGTGGAATATCAGTGCTTGGGCGACTAAGGCGTGCATCCATATGGTGAGGGGTAGGGCCATCTCCACCAATACCCAAAGGGTCTGTTAGGAAATTGTTTTGAGGCTGAAAATAGATTTATTTTACTATAATAAATTTTGAATTTTTATCATAATCATGTTGATCTTCTCAAGTGATGATTTTACCAAGAAGGTAGATATTAACAAAGAATATTCCAGACTAGCAATATGTTCCAAAATATCTTTCATCTGTACATTTTCGTATTACTGTATAAAGGCTTATTTTCACCCCGTGTTATTCTCACTCTTTCACACTTGAAAACAATTTTGTCCCATCACAGTTTTGTTTAAGGAATTATACTGTATTCTTTGAATTCACCCCGATTTAAATTCGCCCAAAGGAGAACAGGGCAAAACGGGTGAAAATAAAACGGGGGCCAAAATTTCCCTGTATACAGTATTACCTGTGTGAAGTATCATGAGAAGTTCTTTATTAGATAATATTATAAAGCAGGTCTTTTAATATACTAACTGAAGACATTCCTGGAAAATGAGGCATTTCCCATAAAGACTCATTTGTGTTTTTGTTAAAGAAATATGGTCTCTCCTCTCTCTTGCTCCAGAATCTTCTCCATCCCATTTGCAACAATTCAACAGGCAGATCATGCACAGGGTCTGGTGACATGGGCTGAGGAGAGAGTAGCAAGGACTCTTGTCGCTTGACATCTTGATGGTTGGGAATGTCTACAGACAAAGATGGTGGGGCTTTGTCTCCCTGTGGGGTTGGTTTTTCTGCTGGTGTAACACTGCTTTCTTTACCAGGTCCATCCCCATTAGTTGACACCTTTACACTGTCTTTATCCATTTTTTACCTGCAATTTTATTGTTCAACAATAAATGGCAGCATTTAATACATTGGCAATTTGTCATGTACAAACTTTCTAAATATGCAGCGACAGTACCAAAAAATCAAGTCTCAAATGGGACTCAAATCCAGGGCCTCTGGTGTATTGTGCCAGGGCTTTAATTACTGAGCTATTTACATTTGATTTATTGATTTTTACACACCCATGAACCACATGACCAATCATTGATAAGAAAATTTCAAAAATTTTAGAAAATAATTATTAAAAATTAAGAAATTAATATGAATTTCTTCAATCTGAAAGAAATTCAACATACATTGAGTTCATGATAAATTTGACAAATATGTTGAAGCAACACTGATTTGAAGTTAAGAGTTTGTAGCATATAACTACTGACTCAACTTATCTCAAGTATTCAGTATATCAAAGTTTTGCAATAGGGAAGTTTAACTATACTACACAGTTACGCTACAACTTAATATGCTACAGAGTTAAAGAGCCTATTTGAATAAATGTCAATTCAAATTATGTGTAATTATTACTCATACAGTTAAAATACATTATTAAAAAGATCATAACAACAAGTGCCAAGATTCCAATGAAATTGTATTCTTCAGAATATTCACAAAATCATATGATCCTAAAAAATATGGAGTTTCGAACTGTCAACGTTATACGTCAATCTAATAAATTATGCAATCGTTATTTTTATTGTCATAATTCTTTGAAGTAAAACCTTAGTAAATGCATTTACAGAGCAACTTCCAGAATCTTATTAAAATTGGAAATCCCTTCCAAGCCCATGCAGCGAAATTTGCAGACTCGATAGAATTGATCGGAAACTACTAAATAAAACCAAATTCAAACTTGACAATGAGGAAAAACAAAATTTGGAAACAAAAGATTTGTATTGCACTCAAAAAATGATTACATTTTCAGTTAAAGTCCGCAATATTACTCAAATTTGTTGGAGAAGATTTGCGTGAAGCCTTCCCTGACGCCATTATTGTGTGAAACAGCTAGCACAAGGATTTTAGAAAAACAAAACGATACTTTGAACACTTGAAACATATGTTTTTACGATCAATAAATCAAGTATGTTTTGAAAAATTATATCGAGTGTTTTCTTTTCTTGAAATAAAATGAGTTGTACATGATATCAATATCAACACTAGCTGAATTTTCGTTTTGTGATTCTTCTTAGTGCCACGTTGCCTTGTACTAGCGCGCCAAAATTCAAAATATAAATCTAGTAAAAACCTTAAAAAATTGAGTTGTAAAACAATGAAGTTTAAAGAAGATGTTATTGATTTTGTTGATGAATATAAATATTTGGGTGTTGTCCTAAAAAATAATGGTAAATTGAAATATGCATGCGAGAATTTAGCTGGTAGAGCAAGGAAAGCATATTTTATGATCAAATCAAAACTACCAAACAATGTTATCTCTCAGGAAAGGCTTTTAAGATATATATATGCATTATACCAATTTTAACTTATGCTTCTGAAATCTGGATAAGTGATTTTAAGAAAATTACAAAAGAATTTGATAAAACTCCATTTGAAAAAATTCAAAATTTCATCTTGAAAGACATTTTAGGGGTCCATAATAAAGCTTCTAATTTAGCAGTTAGAGTAGAGTTTGGTGCACTTCCCATTATTTTCAGAGTTTATAAATTATTATTTAGATATTATTCTAGATTAAAAAAAACTTGTTGCAGATCAAGAGAATTCAAACTTACTTTTACAACATGCATATTTAGAGGATCAAAAACTTGCAGGAAGTGGAAAAACATGTTGGCAAAACTGTATACAAACTATACTTGACGAAGTTGTTAGTTCAAATGCTAATACATTATCAATAAATGATTTTGAAAATAATTTGAAAAAATATTTGAATATATAGTTTTTAAGGAATTATAATAAATATCAGAGAAAAAGGTAATGGCAAATTATCATTCTACAGCCAGTTAATAAGTCAAGGGAATCTAAACAAACTTGAAATTCAACCATACTTAAATTTTTCCATTTCCACAAATTTGGTTCTTTTTTGTCGATTGAGAATAAGTGCCCACAAATTACAGATAGAGGTTGGCAGGTATTGTAACCCAATTATACCAAGAGATGAAAGATTTTGTATTAATTGTAAAAATGTCGTTGAAGATGAACATCATTTTTTATTTGTATGTCCTCTTTATAAACAACTAAGAAGTGAATTTTGTACACTTTTTAATAATACATGTATATCTTATGAAATTCTTAATCCAGCACATGCGATAATGGCCTAGTCGGGGGGTCAGGACCCACCCCCCCCCCCTGGAATTTACCAGATTAAAAAATGTATATACTAAAACAAGAAAAAAGTTACTATGGACCCCCCCCCCCCCGGTACACGCGAATATGTCTGAAATGGGTATGAAAAGTGAAAGAAAAGATTTGCGGCAATTGACGTCACCACTACCCCCCCCCCCCCCCCCCCCCCACGAAATAGGTTTTTTGACGTTTCGGCGAGATTGGCTTTTTTTTTTCTTTTTTTTTTGGTTATGCTTGTGAAGAAATTTCTGGGACTGGATTTTTTTTCTGACTGGGGTGGACCCCCCCCCCCCTGGAAAAAATTTCTGGATCCGCGCCTGCAGCAGATGTTAATTCTACAAGAAATATTTGTAACTTCATACGTGAGGCATGTAATATCAGAAAATCTATGTGACTATATATTTTATATTTGTTTACTGTATGTATGACTTGCGCCACATGTGGTTTTTGTCAAATTGAATAAATAAATAAATAAAAAATAAATCAGAAGACAAAATCATTTCTTTTCATTCACAAACACCCGTGTCAACGTTTCATTTTCTGCATTGTTCTTAAAACCATATTTTCATTATTATGAAATTTATTTGTTTTATTATATATGTAAACATTTGTTTTGTATTAATTGCGCTGTACAAGTTGTAATTAAACTGCATGTGAAGATAATATATAAATATTGCATGTAGTTGAGTGTAACATTGAAAATTTTCACCCCAAGAAAACCATTGTCAACCGAGGCGCAGCTTCGTGTAAATTAGTTGAATCTGATTGGTCGAGAAACATTTGCAAAAAAACACTATTACTCGCTGAATAATGAAGCCACGCCCTCCAGCGTAGCAACAGTCAACATTGCTTGACGGCGGGTGGTATTACAAAAAATAGCGACTGCGCAGAATTTATGCGCGCACGGTTCACTGTTATATGTATTTGTATAAAACATTCAGTATAATATAATAAATATTGCATGTAGCTAAGTGTTGCTTATAAGACTAATATGGAGGAGGTGAATAACAACTTTTTTTGAACAGCTAGGTGCATGGCTGAAGCTACAATATTTATTTTCAAAATGACTCAAGAAAAATAATTTATTTTTTCTCTGAAAAAATCTGACAAGGAAAGAATTAATTTAGGCCTCAATCTGCATGACATGTTCAAACCTTTTCATGGAGGATCGAGGTAATAGTAAGATTTTGTGTCCTCACAGAGGAGGACATATTTTTTTTAAATATAAAACATTTTCAAAAATTGATTATTTATGTAAAATATATACATTTCGATTTTCATTAATTTTCTTTCTCTTCAATGTACAACAAAAATGGATTTAGATATCAAACATTTACAGTAGATTATGATTGGGAAGAGTTATGCCCCTTTTCAGCAGCAAATTATACAGAAAATGAATAATCTCATATAACCTGTCTTCCTTGATTAATTCTGGCAAGCAGTTTATTTTGTATGTGTTTATTTAATTCATTTCACTTTTTAAGTCAAACCTTCCTTAATTAAGAAAGAGACAAAAAAGAAAATTTCATTTATTAATATATATTGCATCAAACACTTCTCTTCTGTCTGAAATATTCCTTTATAAGTCCCTTTTTATTGATTTTTCCCATACTATTTCTGGGAATTTGGTCCACAAATTTCACAATTCCTGGTATTTTATGCTTTGGTAATCTGTCTTTTGCCCACGTTTGCAGTGATTCTTGTGTCATGCCTGATGCTCCTGGCTTCAAGGCTACAATGGCCGCCACCTTTTGTCCCCATGTAATGTCTGACACTCCCACAACAGAACATTCCTGGATGTCTGGGTGCTGAAGCAGAACATTCTCTATCTCTAAGGCACTTATCTTGAAGCCTCCATACTTAATTATGTCCACTGAAATTCTACCTTTAATTTTCACTACCCCATCCTCATAAACAGCCATATCTCCTGTGAATAAATGAAAGAATGAAACAGAACAATAACAAATGTGACTTTAGCAATATGTTTAAAAAAATCCTTATCAGATTTTATCTTTAGAAACAATATGAAGTGCATCTTCATGCAATGGTTCTTATCTGTAGTACAATTATACAAATTTAAATGTAGAAATGAATAAGAAAGTAAGAGAAATCAGAGAGTTCAAACCTGTTTTGAACCATCCTTTGGAGGTAAATGATTCGCTGGTTTTGAGAGGTGCATTCCAGTATGCACTGAATACGCCTAGGCCCTTAATTAGCAGCTCCCCTTCTTGTCCTTCTTTACCTTGAAACAGTAGACAGTAAATAACAAAATGTAAAAACAAATCCACATATTTCTCTCCCCTCTTACAATGACCCTCTCTATCAAGTCCAAAAATTTACATAATACAGTAAAACAAGCTAATAGAGAACATGCATATAATAATTTAGCACTTGAAGCAAATTGAAAATGAGTCATTATGGCCTTGCTGTTCTTAATCAACAGATTTTTTTTCCCTTTATATTACTTTGTAAAATTTTGATCACCGACTGTGACCCACCCTACACCCGAGGATCATGATTTGAACAACCTTAATTCTACTACATTTATCTCCCAGATCAAAGAAATGTGACAGCCATTATTCTTCAAGTAAATCACAAATTACACAAAAAAATTTATCAGATCAGAAGCAAGTATAAAACTGAAATAAACATTTAACTTTTAGAATCTATTTCTTTTTTTAGACCATATTTATGTGTTCTTCTGTAGTTTACAGTGTGTAAATGAGACTATTCCATTGACCTCTCCAAAAGATTTACAGTCTGTCATTATACATGTACCATAGGCCAAATTGCTTTAAGTCTATGATTTTACAGACAACGCAGTAGAATAGGCAACTGATTGTGCTATTTTACATGTACATTCATGAAAATTAATCTATGGAATTGGCTTGATGGTTCTTGAAAAAAAAATTTAAAACAGAAATGCTCACAAATAACAGACAATACATGACATCTTGACACAGTCTTTCTGAATCAGCTCTGGTGAGCTAAAATCATTGAACATAGTTTAATTACATCATCTCTGCTTATAATTCTTGTAACAATAAAGATGAATAATACCTTACCCTGTGTGACCTTGACCTCTTCATCATCTCCCTCAGCTATCACTTCATATTCACCTTCCACATAGGCATTGTAATTCCCAATCATAAACTTGACGTACTTAAATGGTAAACCAACAGCTCCTACCATGACAATAAAGGTAACATGTACAATGAATTGATGTAGAATTCAATGTCTTGAAAAATTCTCATCTTCACTGAGATATACAATGGAATCAATAATTATTTCAAGAATGTCAATGAATAAATTCACAGAATGAATGCTCTGTAAGACAAAAGGTTACAGTGTCCATAAGCATTCTCTTGAATGAAATCTGAATTAATCAAATTATGCATTTTTTCCTTTGAAATATCAATCAAGCAGGAGTTTATAGTCCAGTTTGCTTGCTTATACAACTCTTAAGTATGGTACGTAACTACGTATGATACATATATCCCTCTCCACTCCCCTGGAGCTCTCTATCTGTTTATTAGTCAGAGCCATCGTTTACTCTGTAAAATCATATCTCCTCAGTGTAGACTGGCTATCCACTTACCTGGAACTCTCTCTCCTTTCTGTTTATTGGTGAGATCCGCCCCTTACTCCGTATAATCATATCTCCTCAGTATAGAATGGCTATCCACTTACCTGGAACTCTCTCCCCTTTGTATGGATTGGTCAGAGCCATTCCTATTTCTGTCATACCATATCTCTCCAGTATGGTATGGCCTGATATCTCTCTCCACTTATCTAAGACTGGAATGGGAAGTGCAGCTGATCCACTCACAAACAACCTATGGATTATTTGTATAGCAAAGTATTATTTTTCATTGTCAATTTATAATTGAGCAATGAATGAAATTGTCTTTTCAAATTCAGTATTTGTTTCACAAAATAAGGATATATATTGGATTATAAACTTTTGAAATCAATGGCTTTTAATAAAAATTATCACAGATCTACAATTTTTTCTTTTATCTCTATGATAGACAGAGGTGTTATTTCACAGAAAAGCATAACTGTAGACATTTATAACCATAGTGATAAACAATAGTTTCATGAATTTCAACATCATTTCAATGTAAATTCATGCAGAATTGTAATTGGCCATACTGAATTACAGTTCAAGTGAATTTCTCCTAACAGTTCTCAGATGAATGCTTTAAGATTAGCCTGTATATGTACCTTAGCTTTTGGAGTTGTTCCTTTATAAGATTTCTAATTTCCTCTGATGTACTCCCATATTCCTCCTCATAATATCTGATCATAAGAGCATACATGGTCGGTACACCCATGAAGAGGGTAATGGAATTTTCAGAACTCTCTAATAACCGTTCAAGGACAAGCTACAAAATAAAACATTTTTAATATCCAGTAGAATACATTCCCTACATGCAACCAAGAAAAACCTCTATTATTTTTATCCTCATCAAAAAAGTTTTAAATAATTTACCCCAATATAAGTGATTATGCCAATTTTTTTGCACTCATGCAAGTAGGGTTTTTACAATCTTATACTTTGCTTAATAAAATATTTTGTTTAAAGAAGTCTTACTTTTCCATCAAACTTGGGAAACATGTAGACTGTAGCTCCACAGTACAGAGGCGTGAGTAGGGCATTCACCACACCATGGACGTGGTTTAGGGGCAGAGTGTGGAGGATGCGGTCATTACCCACCCATCTCCAGGCATCAATCATTCCAAGGATATAAATGTGCAGATTGGTATGTGAAAGTAAAACACCCTATATAAAAAAATCAGAATAATAAAAAGTATCTTTCAGTATAAAAAATTGTCTGAAATAAAAGTAACTTTAGTGTCTAGAGTCTCTTAAATTTTAAATACAGTAAAACAAATGAATATCTGATCCACACAGAAGTTCAAATGTTCATTACCTTAAAAACTATCATCATAAAGTACCTTTTTTTTTTTTTATAGAAAAAGTTAAATTATACAAAAACCTTGGGTTTTCCAGTAGTGCCACTTGTATAGATCATAAGAGCTGGTTTCTGTAAAAGCCATTGCTCCCCAATTGCAAATTCCAAGTCATCATAACTTTCAAAGACAAGATTCTGATTGCTAGTGATACTTTGATACACTACAGGAATCATCCCTTGTTGTGAAAAACTGACCGCCTTTTCCCTGTGGTTTTGTGTAGTGAGTAATATTGATGCCTTTGAGTCCGATAAAAAATACTCAAGGTCCTCTTGGGGATAGGCATGATTTAAAGGAAGGGCAACAGCACCTAACATCCAGATAGCCCATAACATTACCACATAATTTACATTATTGTCATAAAAGAATGCAATGACATTTGTTTGTTCCATATTCAAAGGATAAGCTTTATGAAGTCTTCTGGCCAAAGACACACTTTTTGTGTAAATAAACACATATGAATATGAATCTGAATTGTCAACTAAAGCCGTCCTTGGAAAATACTCTGAAACTTTGTATATCATGTGAGTACATGGAAAATCTGTCTGCATAGGATTTGACATTTTTTCTAACTTGTCCACTGCCATATATATCGGTGCCGAATGGAATGCACTGGATAGTTTTGATGTCAAGACTGGCAATAAGAGTGATGGGTGAAATTTCCATACTGAACTAATCTTCAAACAGTGCCGAGTATATCGTAAGCAATTCATTTTCAAAAAGACTTCACATACAATCTTAAAATAAAATTGAAGAAGAAATCAGGGTATGTCAGCTGATTTCTTCATAGACACACAAATTACGATGATGCATGCTGCATTTTAACCAGTGTTTACAATCTTCAAAATACCAAACCCGATGTTATGATGCCTTTCCTTTTATTTAATTTTTTTAAAAGAAAAGGAAATGAAAAAGAGTTTTAACTGTATTTGTTTGAATTACAGTTGGTTTTTAACAAAAATAAAGGAAAATGTAGATTTTTCTAAAAATAAATCGATTAAGGTAAAAGACCTCTTTCCGGTAATTATACCCAGCAGTTTGACACGTCAACCGAACCCGAATACAATAGAAAATGGAACTGGGTTGCAGACTGAAATAGTCAATCTAAACCTGATCTTAGAATGGGAAAGAAAGATGCCAGTGCCAATAGAGGCACACCAGTTGAAAAATACAGGAAAGATATAGGTATAAAATGCAAAATGGCTGTTAAGCACCTTCGTATGCCACAAAGTTTTATAGATCAAATGAAATATTTTTACTTTCTGTTTCACTTTAACATGTTTCACTTTAACATGTTTACACCAAAGGCAGCAAGTGATACGTGGATATTTCTGGGGTGATGGGAACAGGGATTTGGAGGCATTATGTTCTTTTTTTTTTTTTTTCTTTATTTTATTTTCAACTACAACAGAACTTGGGATAATATATCCTAAGATATTCCCGGCTAATCCTAACCTATGGTGCCAGGGGCCCATTGGATCGGATAAATTATATCATAGATATGTATATGTATTATATGTAAATATATATATAAATATAAAGACATAGAAATTATACATATATGATATAAATCGGAAAGATGCACTTAACCTTATAAATTTAAAAATATGCAAATATTTGTTTTTGCAAAAAAATAATAATAAATAAATAGATAAATAATTGAATAATAATAATTAAGTCTCGCTGCCATGGGGTACATCTTCCACCTCACAGAGTCCATAATAATTACCCCACATGGCAGCACTACTGAAGGACAGATCCCTTCAGATAGTCAGACTATTATTTATCACAAAGCTATCGAAATATCATAAAACCATTTATATGTAAAGTTTACATCTAATTTTTTATAAATCTCATATTGATACATAAGGTTTGCCTTTACATAATACAAGATATCATTTATATTTTCTTCTCTGTTTTCATATCTTAGCTTCATTTTTTAAATTATCTTATATATAAAAAATGCTATGTAAGATAATAAATGATTCAGTGAAATAGTGGTTTTGTTTTCTTCATAGAAAAAAACCAATACAATATTTTTCCATTTTATATTCAAATTCAGACGGTTTTCTATATTTTCCCAAATCATTTCTACATTTCTACAATCAAAAATTTGGTGTTTTGTATCTTCAAGTGATTCACAAAAAGGACATTTATTCGATACATTTCTATTCCATTTGTGAACATTTTTGTTATTATTTAGTAGATTTTGTAATAGCTTATAATTAAATTCTGCTACCCTGGTAATTGTTTATCTTTTATTTTCATAAGCATTATGTTCTTTGTTAGATTTGTGCTAGAATATTTTTTAAAATATAAAAATGTAAATGATATTCCGAGAATCTTTTCCAACAGGAAAACAGGATTATAAAAAGAGTAAAAAAGAAGTGAAGATGATGAAAAACAAAGCTGATATGAAATCCTCAGCATTGGGAATAAAGGTTTGTTAGACACATGACAAGAAAACAATACATCTATTTACTATTATACACATATATACAAAAGGGTTTCTGACTTTTAGTAGATGATAGGTAGGCTTATAAATATTTTTATTTTCAAACATTTTTTTTAACATAATGATAATGTAAAAAAGAACACTTTTTTGACCATTTATGAAGAACGTTACACTTATGGTGCAATTTCCCCTATATACTTCACAGCTATCACAAAAGAGTTGCTAGGGAATGTATGACATATACAATATGTAATATTTAAAGGAATTCATACAGACTAGCTGCAGAACTGTAGCTCTCAAAAAACAATATTTTTACAGACCAGAGAGCTACAGTGCCGCTCATTGAAAAAAAAACTATTTATTGTGCACAAAAAGTGTGCTGTTTCTTGATTTTGTAACGTGCAACGCGGCCGAGCTTGGTGTGTAGTGATACGTCTTGTATCACCGAGGCGTTACACTTAGGTTCGTGAACCTGTTAACTCAGATTTTTGTTAACCAATGCGATTTATAATCAAATATATACAAAAACAACGGGTTTCTTCTTGATTGGACAATCACTAACTGTGGTCAACGGGTGTCTCCCGCAATGAATTTCTCTTGTCCTGCCACTCCACTAGTGCTGCTGCATCTTGGCACTTCCCCCACTTCTATTTGTGGTATGCCACCTCTCTCTACAACCAAATGACTGCCTTATTCAGGTCTTACGTGCATTGGTGTACTGTGAAACACTTAGATGTTCATCCCCGGCATCCGTCTGCCTTATTCAGGTCTTACGACCGTTTGCAAGAGAAGAAACAAACTAATGTTTATCCACTCCGTCACCAGAGAGGTCCCCTGAGTTTCCGTAACACAGTACGTATTACCTCAGTGCAGCCAGTCCCCTGTATATAGGCAGTTTCATACTACTTGTATGATCTAAGAATTAATATTTTTTAGTGTTTAAGAATTTATATAAGAACGTAGGTCTAACGTTAAAACGAAACTAAATCACAAAACCAATTTCCGTTTCATTACCCTCTCCTCAAGATTATATGCGTCCCGCATATGATTAACTATTTACAATTTATTTACATATGTACAAAACTTTGCAATGCCTGACAATTTGTGACATCTCCCTAGGCATCGATTAATGCATCTTTGCCGAGAGTTTCTCGCACCTCACCAGGTGCTGATGTGTAGGCCAAATTGGTTAGTCGTCTAATGGCCTGACCTAACTCTGGTATTGACTCAGATGCTCTTTGCCATCGTTTTTTTTTTAGCTGAACACAATACAGATCTGTTTGGTTAGGAGGGGAAAACCTTTCCTCAAAGGATCTGACCAGTGTCTTATAGTGCTGACCAGTATGGCTTAGTAAGTCACCTAACACTGACTGCATGCGCTTGGCCACTCTGTGATACAGCTAAGTAAAGACCTTTCTTATCTTCTGTCAAGCCGTTTACAACAGCACAGGCCTCAAAATGAGGTTTGTAGTCAAGCCAGGAACTGGTTCCGTCATACGTGGCTGGCTTGATTATAGGGCCTGTCTTGGCATTGTTCGACCAGGTTGACTGCCTCCGTGGTTTTGGCGTGTCAAATAGATGCCCCGTCACAATGTCGTCAACCCCAGCTTTTGGTGTGTAGCTTGGTTTGCCTTCTTCTGGAAATCTAACTTTAGGCCGTGCGCCGTACTCGTCAAATGACACTTCTCCTGACATACCGGTATTATCAGTACTGTGTGTCGCATAACCAGACTCTCGGCTTGCCGCATTTGTCTGACCACCGTCACTGGTTGGCGTTCTCATCCTCTCTAAGACTTTCTCCATTCGCTCTATAGTTTGTGACACCTTCTTAGATGAATCCATGGTCAACAAAATCTCGACGCTGCCACCAAATAATGTAACGTGCAACGCGGCCGAGCTTGGTGTGTAGTGATACGTCTTGTATCACCGAGGCGTTACACTTAGGTTCGTTAACCTGTTAACTCAGATTTTTGTTGACCAATACGATTATAATCAAATATATACAAACACAATGGCTTTCTTCTTGATTGGACAACCACTAACTGTGGTCGACGGGTGTCTCCCGCAATGAATTTCTCTTGTCCTGCCACTCCACTAGTGCTGCTGCATCTTGGCACTTCCCCCACTTCTATTTGTGGTATGCCACCTCTCTCTACAACAACATGAGTGCCTTATTCAGGTCTCACGTGCATTGGTGTACTGTGAAACTCTTAGCTGTTCATCCCTGCATCCGTCTGCCTTATTCAGGTCTTACAACCGTATGTAAGAGAAGAAACAAACTAATGTTTATCCACTCCGTCACCAGAGAGGTTAGTTTGTAACACAGTTAATCAGTGCAAGTCCCCTGTATATAGGCAGTTTCATAACTTGTATATCTAAGAATTAGATATTTTTTAGTGTTTAAGAATTTATATAAGAACGTACGTAAAACTTTAAAACGAAACTAAATCACAAAACCAATTTCCGTTTCAATTTATTTCTCCATGTTTTTAAACTGTCATCTCAAAATATTACTAACCATGCATTCCTAACATATTCTTTCACTGTTTCCATAACAAAACATATTCCTTGTAATTTTTGTTAATAGCCCTCCTGGCCCTAAAATTTAGATCATCGAAAATCTAGCTTATCTATACTGCCATTTTGGTTAGCAAGATAATTCGGTCCAACACACTTTGTGCATATGTCAACTATGAGAGTATACTTAATGGAGGGGTAAGGAATTTTTTAAATCTATCTTTTTTTTGCGATTGAGATAAGAAATGGAAAAATTAATCCAGAACTAAGCGCAACTTTTTGTGCACAATAAATATACAGTTTTTACAATGTGTGACACTGAAGATTTCCGGTCTGTCAATAGGCCTTTATTTTTTTTTTCGGAGAGCTACAATTCTGCAGCTATATACATAAATCTAGGGTCACTTAAGTAACCATCAACTTTTTTAATAGGCCTTTTAGTCATATAATTTTCTTGTGTTATAATTATTTATAGCTAAATGCAGTTTACTACATGTAGAAATAACCTCCAATGGATTGCCTTTAGTTTTGTTTTAAATCTCAATCAACAGAGTATTTCTTATGAAAATATTCATCAAGAATTTACAATTATTCACATCTTCCTTTTATAAAAAAAATTGCATTTATTTAGTTAAATATTAATTGTTATTCTGTAGGAAATAAGGTCTTTAAAATTATGGACAAAGATATTTTTGACTCTTTTGAAGTGCCAACTAGATCAAGTAAATAATTGTGGTATTGCAAGTTCTTTGAAGGGGAAGATTATATTTTTTATTTCTGATCTGAAACTATAAGGGTTTCATTTCTTTTGCAATGTGTACTTTGTGTTTGATAACTAAAGTATACTTTTGATTGACATCTTGATATTTTCAAAATGCTGTTAGTGTTTGTATTCAATGGGATAAATATGAAGTATTTTCCTAAATACATTTTCTATTTTTTTTAATCCTTGCATCTATTTTTTCAGGAAGTAGTGATGATTGTGGCAGCATTATTTACACTTGTAGCTGGTGTGTATATGTTCCTCTTCTGGCGATTGTCAAACAGAGAAGTTCCAGGGAGTTAGTACCAAGTGATGGACCATAAAACAGGTGTGCAAGATAGTGATGTGTGAAATCCAGTGTCAGTTGTCATACTTACATGTCTACTTAGATCATTTTTTGTGATGTACAGGGTTGTTTAACTATATTAATGTAATTAATGTAATTATTTTTTGATATTCTGACATTTTTAGCATTTTTTTACTGCAGTATGTTTTAAAAATATTGCATCTCTATGTTTTGAAAACATGAAGCATTCCTCTAATTTTCTGAATTAAATAAAAAAATGAATGTTGATGATATTATACATTTAGTTTTCAATTTTGTTTGTCTAGTTTTGATGAAAGATTTCAAGTTTATATTTTTAAATATACATGTAAAAATACAGATTACAATTCTTTTGGATAACACATATGATGTCTGCCTTTTAATTGTAAAAGAGAAAAGGCTGTGTACTAATATTAATTTTAGAAATTGTTTTATAAGAGAACAGTACCAGTACATTGTCAGGTACTGTTATTTAAGAAAAGCAGTGTTTATGTCTACAATAACAATTAAGACTATGCAATAAAATGTATAAACTTATATTTGTCAGTTTTTGGATTGAAAAGTGAAATTGCAAGAAGACTCATATGCCTGCTTATAAAACCTTCACAGTATGCAGTGCATACATGTACTAAAGAATTATCAATGTTTGTGGGGGACCATTGTTTGTGGATTTCTTTTTCCACCCTTATCCACAAATTTACACCCCTATTACTTTGTCAACATACTATTAGGAATTTATTTCCTCCGTGGTCATAAAAATACTTTGTAAACATCTACTGTCTAGCGTTTGTCTAGCAATCTATCGATTAGATAACTACGTACTACAATGCATCGTGACGTCATGTTATTTGGTTTTTATTATAGAGAACGTATGCATTGTGACGTCACGTTTTATTTACACCCGGCTCAAGTTGGGTGCACGGATATTTACACCCGACTTTGTAACCAATCAAAGCTCGTGTTACAAGCTAGATAGGAAACAATAGTATTTATTCATTGAATCTTACAAGTAACCCACAAAATTAGTAAATTACGACCCTACGTATGAACAAAATTGTGCTTATCTATGACCATTGCACAGCCCCCCCCCCCTCCCTTATTGAAAATGATTCCACGAAACATCCCAGTAACAGCTAATTTGATGAAATATGCAATGCTTGAGAAATTAACAAGTAGAAGCTTTACGTAAATCTCCATTCTTCGACAAAGGCTTCAATGATGGTAACGTAAACGTAAAATCTATTTCATTTGTCAAAAAAAGAAGAATCTAAACCCATTCTATATAAGAAGCGAATTAAAAAAAATACCCTTCAACAAACCCGTTCATTTAAATCACACTGACAGACAATTGTGTTATATACTTCGTAGCGTAGTGATTAACGCGGTGGGTCTTGCGCCAAACTGGGACATGGAGAGAGTTTGAATCGTACGTGAAGCTTTTTTTGCTTTCAAATATCTTAAACACACGAATGAAAAATAAATAATTTAATAAAATATCAAAACAATGAAATACAGAATTAAATGTGTAATAAATGATATATAAACCAATAACCATATAATTTTGAAAAATATAGCTTTCATGAATTACTTTTAGAATTTATAAATGTCTTTTCTTAGAACGGGAGATTGTCCTCGCCTTTTACGCCTCCATTCTTTCCTTATTTTTGTAAGAAGGGGATAGTGAAATATATGGTTTTTATGTCTTCCAACTTATTTGCTACCGAAGAGCATGCTTTGAGTACGATCAATTTCCAATAACCCGAGACAGGCTGTTTACAGATAAGTTGATATTACAGGGATTTCAGCAACCTGGTGTAAACTTTTGGTAATTCTTTGGTCGTTTTAATGACCTTGTAAGCATTTATAACCTATCATTTGGGTTGTATTTTGACTGATTTAATTCATACCTATTCTTTAAATTATTTTAAATTTACTACGGAATTTTCCGTTTACTTGATCAGTTCATAGGGGTCACAGTGGATGAGGTCGATCAACAGGGGATGCTTATTCCTTCCATAGACACTGATCCCACCAACAGAATTTTCGGAGGGTCCGTGTTCATGCATTGTGGATTTTAAAGGTTGATCACTGTTCGATAACTTCACCTTTTTCATTAGCAGTGAATAGGTTTAAAAAAACCCGATAAAATTGAAAAAGTTGAAATATGACCCCCCCCCTCCGAATTTAGAAATATTGTTTGAATTTTTGAAGGAATCTAGGTTTGTTGTTACATGTACTTGCGCAACAAAAGATCGATTCAAATAAAACGATAACTCTTGATTTGCTCATATACAAAATCGCTACACAATGGATCAAAAATCTAATTTCAATCTAATTTTAATTAAGGTTTACAAAAGATTATAATTATGAGAAAATTTATGGGAAATAATATCGCATCACTTTCCCTGGCTTTAAATGTTACGTGTTTATTAATTTTTTCCTCCTTCATCGTTTCTAATTACTGTATGTACAATGTTCAATGTACAGTTTACAACATTCCCGTTTCGGTGAATGGTAAATAATACATGTATGAATATGGAAGTTCTGCTTCCAGGAGCATTTTCAGAATAATATTTTTCTCCTAATCAACTCCTATAATGTTGCATTTAAACAGTTGTTGCATAATACACCAAAACGGATTGCGGATGTAAATTGCACTTTAGCACTTTACTGGGACACTTTATTTAGACCGCAATTGCAAACCACTCAGCATTCTTTTTTGTATATCATATATACATATGATGAGCTTCAGTGGAAAGTATTTTTGATTGACCATAGCACGTGTATATGTATAGTGGCATATAAGTAAAGAAAGCATATTTCTTGTGAAAATTCAGTACACAGATATGACTTTTGATCAGTTTTAAACTGTAAACTGTAGCATAAAATGGAAACTTCTACGCTTTTTAATCTAGGAGGAACATGAAGTGGACGGTGCTGCATTACAGGCCAGTTAAAATAAAGACAATCAGTTTGTTGTTTACAAACATTTTATTCAATTTTAATAGTCTTCCGTGCGTCAAAGCCAAAGGTGTTATATGTCGACAACACGAGTAAGTTTTATATTACTACGAATTTTATTTGAAAATAAATTGGGAAGCATTGGCATAGACATAAAAAACCAAAACCTGTCAGTACAATGGTCAATATTTTTTTTTTAAATGAAATCTTTGCAGTGGTGTTGACCGATGTTGTACCAATTACAGAGAGGAGAGGGGAATATGTATTCGTAAGTACATTTTAACTTTCATCTCCTTTGAGTGAACCATTTTCATGTATTCCTTTCGGCAACGGCAAGTCGAGGAAGGGGTATGGTGAGTTGGTAAAAATTACAAAGGGGTAACGCCGCTACTTTTTTCGGGGAAGAGCTGTCCTATGCTAATTATGTAATTTAAGAGGTTTTTTTTTATAATAAGCAAACTTCACAGTCTTTAACAAATATTTGAGAACTGAGAATATAACTTGATGTCGAATAGTCTGAGGAAATTTGGCTTTCAAAAACAATTACCCTCACAATTTTCGCGAAGGGACAAATGGCGAAGGGATTAAAAGTCCTTGACTTTAGCAAAATTTCATGTAGCTACACGAATGCACCATTTATTCAAAGTTTTACTATTTACACTATCACTTTTGTCATTTATAACAGCTTGTATTGGATCCTTTGGTATCAACTGTACCGGTGGTAAATGTGTAGAGGGATTCTTTGGCTTTGGCTGTCGAGAGAAATGTAACTGCAGCGTACACGAAGTATGTGATCACAGGATAGGATGTCAAAAGAAAGTCTCTGAACTTTCTAACACTACAACTGTAACAGGTTAGTTGGAATAACAAGTAAATGTACTATTTTTTTGAGTTTATGTTTTACCCCCCAAAACATGATTAAAGTAATATTTTGCTCATGCTTTGTTGTGTTCTCTTGATTTAACAGAAATGATTTTTATTTTTTGACATAATTATGTGGTAGAGAGCCGCTGCATGGCTGTGATAATCCCTCTATGTGCATCCATATTATGTCTCCTTGTATTGTTGCTGGCCGTTGTGATAAGAAGGTATTTATGAATGAAAATTGTAAACTAAAGAGCACTTTAGAAGTTGTTGAAAAAAGAATGTTAAAGTTAAGGTTGTTTTTTTTTCTGCAGCAAAATATTGCTAAACCGCTTGAGAATCCAAAGAATTCATCGAAGGGAGAATACCAATTGTACTGATACCGGATCTCAGAATTATGTATCAGCTGATTATCAGTCATATGTTGTATGTGATCCAATTTCTGTGACTGGGGTTAGATACCCAGAAAATCATTTCGAACACTCTGATAACAGTGACTATGTATCGCCAGTGTTGCCGCGCCGTGTAGACGTTCAGATGTCTGTGAAAGACGCACTCGAAAAGAATAGAAAAAGAACTGGAAGTTTACATTTACTTCCACACAGAAATCTCTTGCAGCATGACACAAGCTACCAAAGTGGGTATCTTTCTGCTGTTCACAGACAACAGAACTGTAATAATGGAGAAGCTCCTCATTATGCAGATGTTGAAGATTCATAAATAGTTTATGTTCTGTTCTATTAAAATATATTATGCTTCATTCTATAAAATCATATACTGAAAACTTTTTTTTTCATAGTCGCAAGAATGGAAATATTTGCGTTGTTGGTTGAAGTGCAAAAGACTGTCTGTATTGCAACAGTATTAAAATTTTTATTTCACGGAGGTATTTCTTCAGAATTATGCTCATTCTCTCTGAAACATGACATTTCCCTTTAAAAATTAAATATTTTAGAATTGGGCGTGGGAAATTAGATATTGTACGTAATTACACAACCTTTAAACAACTTTCTCACTGTTTGTTGAAAGAAAGATCTTTGTTACAGTTGATTTGATTTTTTCATGCTTTGCTTTACCTTGTCGTATGTAATGTTAGAGAAAAGAATATATTAATTATATTTTTAGTACGATCAATAAAAGAAAATGAGGGTACTCGATGACTTAGGAAGAGAAAAAACAGAGCAACATAAGTTGTTTTTAATATTTTCAATTATTACTTACGCTGTTTGAAAACTTTATTGAGATTTGGTGTTACTCATTTTAACCTTTTCTCTAATGATGCATGTATCTCTTCTTTAGATATACATCGTGTTGGGTACGGTGTGGCAGAATAATTATAAAATGTTCAAATGATACAAATCACTGGAGTACTTCATACGGATATATTTACTTTTTAATTGATAACAATTATAAGGATATTTTTGATTTTGAAGTTGAAGTTTGAGTTTTTGAAACATTTGTATGTACATATGATTGTGCACACAAGTACTCTGGAGTTGACATCAGAAATGTGCTTGAGTTTCTGATTAACAATATCAATGTTGTTTTTGGAGACCAGGTCTTCCAAAATCTATTGGAATTCCCTTGGGTACATGTACCAATTGCACCATGTTATTAGCAGACCTATTTTGCATTCATATAAAGCAAAATTTGTCCAAAAGTCTTATACGTGAAAAGAAGAAAACACTTGCTGTATTGTTGCCTTCAACTCGACATTTAGAAATATCGATGACGTATTGTACAATGGTTATTTCCATTCTAATGTCGATACAATATATCCCGGTGGGCATGAGATAAAAGATACCACATAGCCTGACATATCTGTTTCACATTTGGATATTTTACTTGAAAAAGACGTCAGTGGTAGTCTAACAACCAAGCTTTATGATAAACGTGATGACTAACTTCCCTTACTTATGAAGCAATAAACCTTCATCACCTGCATACGGAGTTAATATCTCTCAATTAAATCGATACGCAAGAGAATGCTCTACGTATGTACAATTTCTAAAACGAGGTAAATAATTGACAAACAAGTTGATGAAACAAGAATATCAGCAGTCTGACTTAAAGATCATTTCACAAGTTCTATGATCGATACAATGACCTTGTCAGCAAATACAATTTATCATTGAGTCAAATGCTGACTGACGTTTTTCAAACCAATTTTTAGTCCATTATTTACACACTAAATTGACGACGGATTTTCCCGTTGTTTCCCGACCATGACAAGGAACATACAGCGGGTGTGACAGGTCGGCAGGTGATGCTCACTCCTCCATGGCACCTGTTCTCACCTCTGATGTTTTGGAGCTCCGTGTTTGTTCTGCACCTATTTTGTATTGTTTTATGGACTTTTGAGCTGGAATACTATAAGTGAGTGAGAAACATAATTCTTATTTTTAGGAGACAACTTCTAGACCTGTATAAAACAGTAAAAAATAAAGCACGAATCATATTTCTATATGATCCAACACTATATATTCCTAGAAAAAGGAATTCAAAAGTGTTGATACTCCAAAACTATTGAATCAAAACTATTTGTACTATAAACAACTCTATATTACGTACTGACCATCTAATACGAAACCTTTTTTTTTCTCCTCTTTCAACCTTGGCCCAGTTTGATACAGACAAGTATCCTAATATATTAACAACGTAAATAAAGTTTAAAAAATGTACGAATACTTAGTGAGATAGTATGTTTTTTGAAAGAGAGGACCAAAAAAAAAAAAACAAAAACAAAAAAAAAAAAAAAACAAAAAAAAAAAAAAAAAAAAAAAAACAACAAAAAACAAAACAAAACAAAACTTATCTGAAAGCTATCTTTTTCTATAAACAAATTATAAATCTCTTTTAGATAAATATTAATCACAAGTATTTTAAAATCAAATTGTTGTATCATACAGTAAAACTTGTGTAATCCGGTTGTTGTGTATTCCGGAATATTGCTTTATACAATGTAAAAGTTAAGTCCCTTTCAATAATTTAATTGCCAAAATATGTTGCCAAATCCGGAATGTTATCTAGGCCATTTTCTTTCAACCAGTGGTATCCATATAATCTAAAAGTGTCCGTGTATAAAGACTGGAAATCAAGTGAAACATAAATTCTACAAATATTTATTTTTGCTTCTTTTTACAGCAGTTATCGCTTATTAATTCAGAAGCCTACTGAAAAACTGCCATTCGTCCACCTTTAAAGGCTTTCAAAAGTGATACTGCTTGCCAGTACTACAGTGTAAATAAAATACATAGATTTAACTATTGAATCACATATCATCCTGATCAAGTTTTATTTTGGACTTCATTTCTTATTTTGATAAAATATTTTTTTTGATCCACAAAAAAAAAAAAAAAAAAAGACTCGAGTACTGAAAGTGTAATTGATGGCGTGCTTATACATGTAGCTTGGTCCCCATCGTCCTCGATATTGTATTGTCTATTGTACAGAGAAAATGTTTTTACGGTATAAGAAAATGACTGAAATACATAAGTTACTTAAAATAAACTGAATATATATAGTCATATGTTTTCTGATTAATATATAACACACACAAACACTTATATTTTGTAATTGTAATATTTTGTGCATTTTATTTATGCATAAAATGTAAATAATATACATGTTCGTATGTACAGATTACTTGTGAGCGAACTTTATGTCACAAGATCATCTTGATTTCTACTTATAAAATGATTATTAGACAAAGAAATCTATTAATGCGATAAGTGGAAACAAAAAGATACATCTATTTTCCTCTTTCATTTAGAATGAATAAAGATACTACTGATATGAGTCAGTATGTAAGTGGAGGAAAGCAAAAAAGAAAATGCAGAAATGTAAGTTAAGTGATGGATAAATGAAGATATTTTAAAGCAGTGATTGTTTTAAAACATATATCTTTAAACAACAGGGCATAAAACACAGACTCATGGAAATTCCAGAAGTGGAATCAGCGGCCCAGGAGAAGTATGAATTCCTTGTTGACGGTTACACCTGCCGTCACGTGAGCATTATGTATATCAGGTAGACGGAATATCACAAAGTCAACTTCAATATAACAAAACAAGTCAAAATACGACCACTTTGATATATTTGCTAACTAGGTCGATATAACGATCTTAGAATTGTTGAAATAGACTTGTGAATGAATGGAAGTCACAATTAATATATCAATTGATATTATGTCGTCGGTGTAGCCAGTAATTTCTTCATCTTATGTAGAAGTTTCTGAATAAATTGTGCTTCAGTTAGTTGGAAGACCTGGTGACCTGGTATTCGTAGACTATATAAATGTTTTCAGACAATGAGCAACTCCATGAATCTTTTAAAAAATAAAGTTTAGAGTACCTTTGTATAGAATCAGAGTCATTTTGAATATAGAAATTTTGTTGTTAACCAATCACAAGATTCGAAAATTTTCGACTTCCATTTTTATTGAAGAAGCAGTTGTCGATAATATGTTTAAAAGTATATCTGATTGAAACCACTCATAGAATATGCTGTAGCACACTGCACCTGAAGATTCCTCTAATCAGCATTTAATATTTATAGGAGTTTAAAAAAGCATTTGCTGGACCCAACAATATATCTCTGAGTTTTTAGGTCACCTGAGTAAATCAGGTGACCTATTGCTACGTCCGTATATAAATTCTCTGGAACCACTGAACCAATTTCAACCAAATTTGATATACAGCATCTATGGGCGAAGGGGAACAAAAATTGTGAAATGGTCCCATGGGGCCTGAGGGATGGGACCAAAACCACTAAAATTAATGAAATCTTTAAAAATCTTTTACTCCTGGAAAAAGTCAAATTGTTTATGATTGTATCAGCATTGAGTCCTTTATCAAAATTGTGAAATTCATGGCCCAAGGGTCAGGGGTTCTAGTGCTAGGGAGGGGCTAAATAGATTAGTGAAAATGCATTATTTCTTTGAAAATGTTCTTCTCTGCTCCTGGACATTGAATAAACTAAATAAGTACATAGTTATGTTGAATAAGACGGCCTGAATTTCATTAACAGGGGTTCTTAGGTGCAATACATAGATTATATAGTGAAAATGCATTATTTCTTTGAAAATCTTCTTCTTTGCTTCCTGGGTATTTGATTTTTATTGAAGAAAGCTACCTCTTCCAAAATTGTGAATTTCATGGCCCTGAGAAATATGCTCTAATAATTATATAGTGAAAATGCATAAATTCTTCGAAAATCTTCTCCGCACCTGGGTATTAAACAAACTAAACAAGCACATGGTTATGATGAGCAAGAACAGCTCTTCCAAAATTATGAATTTCATTGCCCCTGGATTGGGGGTTTTGGTTTTGGGTATGGCTATATTGATAATATAGTGAAAACACATTTTAATTCTTTAAACATCTCCTTCTCTGCTCCTGAGTTTTAAATAAACCAAACAAGTACATTTAGTTATGTTGAATAAAGCTGCCTCTTCCAAAATTGTGAATTTCAGCATGTTGTTATACTCTATTAATTATATAGTGATAATACATTAATTCTTTAAAAAATTTCTTCTCTTCTCCTGAGTATAAACCAATGAACTATGTACATAGTACTTAGGAAGGATGACTCTCCTAAATTCATGAATTTCAGGGGCCCAGGGTCACAAGTTTTGGTGTTAGGGCAGCGCTCTAATGACTATATAGTGAAAATTCATCAATTCTTCAAAAATCTTTTCCTTTGCTCTTGGGTATTATACCAATGTTGTAAGTACATATTAATGATGATGAAAGGCGCCTCTTCCAAAATGGTTCATTTCAAGACCCTGAGTCAGGGTACTTGGGATGGGGGTTACATAGTCTGAAAATAAATTAATGCTTTGATATCTGCTTTTAGGTATTAATCAACCATTTATGATGATATAAAACTTATAATAAAATTTGAAAGTTAGTGTTTCCTGTGGGGTGGGGTGCACAACTGGTTATAAGGCGGAAATGCATTTTCTCTTTGTTTAACTCTTATATACCTCTGGGTGTTAAGTAACCAAAGTAAGCAAGCTAATAAGTGACTGTATATTATATTATGTATTGAAGCTAAAGAATACGATTGTAACAGAGCATTCCTTTTTGTCATAGCTAAAAATAAGCCGAGACGAAGAGAAAAAGAAGTGAAAAATATGAAACTTTGTTATCTCTTTCATCTACGAACCCTAATGTAAATAAAATGATCATGCTTGCTTTTTATTCTATTGCTGTTCTGGAGAATTGTTTTTGAAGAAAATTTAATATATCCGTATGGATATTGTATTTTTCTTAAATGCCGTTCACATATGTATGTTATAAGTAGTATAAATATCAACACGGTCATCAGAATGAACAGAAGCAACAGTGTTATGCTTATAAAAACAACATACTAGCGATGAATATAAGTTAGATTATAGTTGTGGACTTTGTTCTGCAGAAATAGACAGTGCCTGATATTAAAATTAACATTTGTTAGTATATCTCATTGAAAAAGACAAATACATTGTATTTTATTTTTTACTGCAAATTAAGGAATTGACATTTACTATATCGGATTTTTCAAAATGTTAACCAAGGTATATTAATACTTTTAAAATGTTTTTTGGGTTTATTTACAAGGAAATGTATTATCTTGAACAGACAATAAAAAAAGTAGAAAAAAAACAATTCAATTTGTTTAGGATATACATTCATACTTGTATATATAAATGCATGTACTTTTAATACATAAGGTCCTTTGATCTGATCAGGGTGTAGTTATCAAAAGAAATTATCGTATTCAAATAATTTTTGTATGTCATTCAAAGTTGGAATGATCGTGAAACGATCAAAAGATCTATTCAGATTGATTTTTAATATAGTTTCAAAGTTAGAATAACAAAGAATTAATCATTTTTCCCTCATAGTTTTTAAAAAAAGATACCCAATGACCAAGGGAGTTAAGGGTATTAAAAAATATAAATTTAGGCACACTTCTTGTCTAGTGCTATGTCTTACTACTTATAAAAGAGACATCGCTTTGGTTACACTGTGGTAAAATAGTTATTAAATGATGATTATAATAATTAATAACAATATTTTAAAGGATATAATTGATGGAAAAAATTGATTTTCTATTTTTTAGAAAACTCTATAGAGGTTTTAAGACATGTTATAAAATTGTGAAGTTGATATTACATAAGCCAAGCATGCGTGCTTTTTTTTAACAAGAAGGAATCCAATTTTAACCTGTATCCTTTGTTCAAGAATGAAAGAACAGTCAAAAAGACATACGGCGGATGAAGCTTAACCATTTAGGGAACTGAAGGGTGTCTGAACGTCAGACTACTGAGTGTTGGCTAAATGCCAGGGTTCTGTTATTCAGTAACTTTTTCAGACCGCTCAGTAATCATTCTCTTAACTGAATGGTGTAGATCCGTCTTTGATAAAGTATTCATATTTCAGTGTAATTTTAACGATGGGTTTTGTACAAATTTACTGTTTTCCTACACATATTCTAAGAATTTTTGTATCCAAACTATAAACAAACTTTACGAGTCTTGTTGACTATAAAAAGATTTAAGAAAAAAATCTATGACTAATTTGCACAGATTATGGACTTTTAATTTGTTTTTTAACGTCAAGGAGAATTTTAGACACTGATCAAAATATGAAAGGGAAATTGCGATATTTTATGGGAATGAATAAAGACTTATAGAGGTATGTTAGGGATTTGTATCGGATTTTTAAGATGAAAAATGCCTACCATGAATAAAGAAGTAGTGTCATCAAAAATGTGGATTCTCAAAAACTCCAAAAAAGGAGAAATTTTAAAATTACTAATTTTCCCCATACACAATACGATCAAAAGATTTAAAAATATATTTGAAAAAAAAAAACATGTCACGCGATAAATTAAAGATCAGGGTCTATAACATCAGGAATGCTTCCTCAATGACAATTAATGAAACTTTTCAAACTATTCAAACTCAATAGGGTACAGTTTTTGATGCTGCCAGAATTAGTTTAAATGTCTCCCAAAAGACTCTCAAGCTTTTAAAAAGAAACCCCTTTACATTTTTCCTTTTTTCCTTTCAAGTAAGCGTACTAATATTAGCGGGTTATGACAATAGATTGCAAATGGAGACAACGAAATGGAGAAACTTGAAAGTATTGTTGGCGTTTCTTGAAAATCAAAGGAGAGATGATAAGCAAAATAAATTAAAGCTTATTCTATCTGTAAGGAAATGGTTCAAGATAAAAGTCTAGAAGGACATAAAAATAAAACCCACTGCATTAATTTTTCATTCTCACACTGAAGCATTGACATGCATTTGAATAAAACATCAAAGTCAAAATATTACTAATTAGCATTGTTATAGAAATAGGAAGATTACTAGTATATCAAATAGGAAGAAAGAAAATACTTATTTTAACACAATACGAAGTACAATCATTTATAAAATCGGAAAGAGGAAGAGAAATCTGCAATATTAATTGTAATCAAGTAATTAAGTAAAGATTTACTTCCAAACAAGACAATGAACTGTCTCTTTGTATTGCTACACTGCTTTGCGTATGCGGTTGGATCGTATGGCAACAAGAATGACATCAGTCAAGTGAAAAGATCAACTAGGTAAGTATAAAACACTTGATTTATTTATTCATCTGTAAAAAGGAAAAAGAAAGCTAATATTCTCTTATTTCCAGTAGAAATGTGGTTTCGGGGTTTCCTTGTTTAACAGATCACAAAAGAGTTGGCGATAAATGTATACGTAAGTAATATGACTTTTTTGCGAAAGGTAATCAAGAAGATATATTTTCTTCCATAAGATAATATTCATGGAAAAAACCCAACAAACATTATTTAAAAAAGGAAAAAAACTTGTTAAAAAATAATAAGCACAATAGTCAAAATATTTTAAAAATTAAAACATCATATTTGTATTATTTCATTTCTGTTTCATTGTATTTCTATTGATACAGAAAACTTCTCATACATACGTATGTACGACATTTATACAAGGCTGTGTGGTTGTGTTTGCAGTTTTATTTTAATTTTTTATTTTAATTTTTTTTTTTTAATTTTTATTTTAATTTAAAACAAATTTCATTCTCACAATCTTGGTTTAAATTGGAAAAATCTACGCAAAATAAAAAAAACCCTACGTTTTTGATTCTAATTAAAGCATGTATCGGGTCATTCGGCAGACAGTGCATAAGACCTTGTCCTTCCGGCTGGTACGGATTTGGATGCCGGAAGAAATGTTCTTGTCCTCATTGTCACAGCATTACTGGATTCTGTAGTCATGGTAATGTATACATTTTAGTCAAGTCGAGTGATTTGTTAATATATATATATACGCTTTCAAATGAATCCATTTACAAAAAATGTATCATAACATAAAAATGAATAAAACTCAAGTGTTGTTAAGTGTTCTTGAGGACATTTTCAAGTTGAAAAAAATAAGTTTTTTCATATTGTGTAAATCAAATTAGAATATGGCATGTCACTTTGCTTTAATTTTTGTGTAGTGAGAAGTGTTTCGAATACATAAAACAAGTGTTTAAACTTAAAACTTTTTAATTAACATTTTAAACGAGATAATGATATTTAAAAATTATTATAACTTTGAAGTAAATTGCACTTATAAAAAAATAGTCTGAAAAAAAAAGTTTTCATTTATAAACAATGGACTAACAATTGGTATGAAAAAAAAACAGCATTTTACCATGATAAATTGTATTTGCTGAAAAAACACAAAAATGCGAAATGACTTTAAAAGGTTATTTTTTGTTTCAGACATTGTTTGTTATGTAATTATATAGAAATTGTTCATACGTAAAGCATGCTCTTGCATATCGAATCAACTGTGATATATAACCACCTATGCAGGTGTTGAAGAGATAATGTAATGAGAGATAATGATATTTGATTTAGATTAAGATATCTTTAAAGTTAATGCACTTACTGAGTATACATAAAAAATAGTAATTGTTCAAAGCTTTTTAATAATTCTTTATTTTTGAAAAAAAAAATTACAAACAAAAGATAAAGAAACCCACAAACATATTGTTCAAAGTTATTCTTAGAGATATTTAATATTTTATATAATACTTTAGTTATATTAATACGAGTACTAAGTATTCAATTATTTCAATTGTTTATAAAAATAATGAATTAATACTGTGAATGATACAGGTGTATATAAATAGAGCACATTTCAGAATCTGTTATCTTTATTTTTGAAGTACTTATCTCTCTTCATTTTGTTATCAATTTCAATAATGTAAGTTCTTGTTTAGAAAAACCAACCATGTCAAGAGGAAATACAGGAAGTTAATAGGTGGCGTTGTTGGTAGTTTATATATGACACGTGGTTACTTCTCTGATTTGTACGAGGATAAGGTTTGTATTCAATGTCAAATACATGTTTTTTTGTAATAAGATATCTGAGTGGTAACACCATCTTATTGTTATATCACGTACACATGTGTAAGTTGAATCCACATTATTATCATGAAAATAATAATGAGATCTATTCATTTTTAAAATGTTTATTTTTGACTTACTGCATGCTAGATGAAGTGAAAAAACTCATTTATATAAACAAATTGTTATTTAAAAGGAAATCTCAGTGATAGGGAAACTTTTATGAATCCTTTAAATATATGTTTTGCACTTTGTTCTAAATAATTAGAAGCCGATGTGACTTCCCTCTATCTGAATAACTATGCTCAAAAAGTTTTCTTTTTTGTTTTTAAAATTTAGATTAAGACGTAGAATTGCATTGGCATATGAATCATCACAAATAGAGGAAGGCAAAAGAAACAGCAGAGAAAATGTGTATATTGACATGTTAGGCGTTGAGGAAAGTTCTTCCACCAAACCTCAGGAAACTTTTCATGACGACTTTTCCACAATTTACAGTCAAATTAATAAAGATATCTCATAAGAAAATAAGAACAAGTCTTTTTAAACGGTGTCTAATATGATAAAAAGAAAAAAAAACTTTATAGTTGATTCCACTATCAACTTTTTTACATTAATTGCTTTCCAATTGTTTTTTTCTGTTGATAAAAGCATATCGTTAGTATGTTTGAAGTTAGTCGGTATTTGACTTAATGTCTATGCTAACAAAGTCAATTAAACTTGCGAAATGACGACTTTAAACGACACAGTTGATATTCTTGATTCATCAACTTGTTCATAATTAGATCAAAGATTAAAAAAGAATTCTATTTTAGAACTTCTTCAATTATCAGCTGAGACACAACGTGCAACAACAATTTATCTCTACTACTATCCAACAATATTGATCTATCCTTCAAAGATTCATAGTAATTGTTAGGCCATTTTTTTTTCTAACTCAATGGTCTTAGGAATTTTCCGTTTTCCCGATTATGACAAGGAGCACACGATGTGTGTGACCGGTTGGTAGGGGATGATCACTCCTCCATGGCATCTGATCTCAACTGTAACGTATTCGGAGGTCTGTGTTTGCTCTGCTCCCGTTTTGCAGCATTTATTGACTTTGTGTTTGAATGCTGAATCCATATGCCATGTTTAGTAGCAAAAAATCTCTGTTTAACAACATAGGTATATAAGGTATGTAACTCGTCAGATTTTTAGAAAGGTTCGGTCAGAATCTCTAATTTTACAATTATTTATCATAGGTTAATTTTAATGGTATTTTGAATTAAACAATGTAATTTATACATTAGACATTCAATTTAAAAACTGCTCACATGTTCACAGAGAAACAATGTCACAAACCACATGGAACACCATTCTGACAAATATACATTAAATGTTCTTGATGAATACTAATTTAGAATCTTTGTTAAATGCGTAGATTAAAGCAGGTGATTATAAATACAGTGGTGACTTGATTCGGGCTAGGAGTTTTAAGTTGGATCATATTCATATCATATAATCCAACGAGAAATAATTATTTATGTACATGTATTATTTATGTTAGCTATGTTATTTGAGTGCTAACAATATTCTTATTACTCTAGAGCATGTTCCCAGCTCGATTAGTTTTCTAACCGAGACAGGCTACTGATAGATATGTTGATAACACATGAATTACAACAACCTCGTGGAATGACATCATTTCTTGAACATTTGATTGCTTTAATGGGTTGTGTTTTGGCCGACTTGTTTCAATTCAATTGCTAGGCCTTTGTTTTATATTGAATTTGACTACGGAATATTTTGTCTATCTGATCAATACATGGGGTTTGAGGGGTCAGTAGGGAATGCTAACTTTTCCTAGGCACTTGATCCCACTTTGGAATTGTTTAAAGACTTTTGAGATCGATCACTGTTCATTATCTTCAGACTTCTCATCAGGAACATGTTTTTATGGATATTGCTATTATAAGAGACATTTTATGTACTCTCGATTCTGAAGTCAGGAATCATACAAGTGCGACACTACATCAAATAAGTCGATTTAACTTGGTTTCACTTCTTTCACGTATATAGATGGAATTATATTCAATACATATAGAAATTTTTACCTTTCAATAAAGTAGACCTGTATGTCCATTGTCCGATTTTAATCTTAGATTCATTGCTTTCAGTTTTTATCAATTTTTTGCCTTATTCTCCTGTTGAGCTATTCTTTAATTTCACAGATTATTTAAATATCTTCCTAAGGTAAAATTAATTGATGATTAATACTAAAATATTAAACAAGTCTTTCATTATGAAGTTAAGATTTTATCAAAAATGGGAAAGAAATGAAAAAAGGGGAGAAAAAAATTTGAATGTTCCACCCTTTATTACTTCACATATCAAATATATAACTTTAACCTTACTTCTTAAATTAGAATCATAATGCGGATGAAACTTGAAGCACACAAGGAAAACTTCATGACATCATATTTTACAGTGTAAATAAGTTAGCGAAAGGCATTTTTTAAGAAGATGCAAGTATAGTTTATGCACATATGTCTTACGGCAAAGATGAGAGTTCAAATTGAAATATATAGATAAATATTTTTCAATTGTTTCAAGTATATTAAAGGTCAATTGGAAAATTGATTGAATCTAAATTTATTTATTTTTGATCTAATATGATGTAGACAACTATCAATAAACAACATCTTATGGAATGTAGATGTAGTTTTCTTTGTGACCGTAAGGATCATGAAGATTTTATTTTTTACTAATACTTTCATTTATTTGATGTTCTGCATTGTAAAAAACGTCTCGAGGTTTTCGGAAAGTAATTAACCTGGGTAAGTAATTGAAGTTTGACTATGAGTCGGTTTTGTAAAATTTTATTACGCTTACGATAAGGGTAAAAAGTAATTTCTTTCGTAGTGATGTCGTTCGATGTTGCACCGATTACAGACAAGATGGAGAAATATGTATACGTAAGTGCGCATTTACAAACGATAATTACTGAAGACAAAATAAATATTGCCATTTTCTCTCTGTCGTTTTGATTTTTAACATTTTTTATTGCACAAATACATGTACATGATGCTGCAAAACCATCATGCTCCCAACTTGTTTTTGTAATAATAAAAATCAAAGCATAAAGCCTTCCTTTATTTATTGAATATGGAAAAGAATGCATAAATAAATGAGATATATTCTTAAACTGTACATCTGTTGAAATAAATTTTGATGAAGTTAATTACTATAAAAATGTAACAATTTTTCAGAAATGGAAAATTACTTAACTATGATTTCATCTCGTAGCAGCTTGTATAGGATCCTTTGGAGTTAACTGTACTGGTGGCGTTTGTGCAGAGGGGTTCTATGGTTTTGGTTGCAGACGAATTTGCAACTGCAGTAAAGATGAAATATGTAACCGTCGACTTGGTTGTGAAAATAAACCTTTAGAAATAAGTAGCACTGCAGCAGGTAACGGAATAATAAAAAAATATTTAAATAGTTTTAAGAAGTATTTTACTAGTTTTTGAGCTTGAGGTTTATTTTGAATTGTTTGGTTTTGTTCCCAATTTTTACATCCAGGGCCTCAATCACAAAGGTAAAAATTATCATACCTTTAGGGACCCCGAGCAATGTTGTGATAATAATGTGTTGTATTATACTCTGTCTGATTTTACTGCTACTGGCAATTGGAATAAGAAGGTAGTTATAAACTGATTTTTACATGTATTTCTAAGGATAATCGAAAGCATGAAGACATAATTGCATCTTTTAAATTGATTCTCTTTGTTTTCTACGAGCAAAATCTTACTGGGTCGCCACTGTATCCATGATAATTATCAAAGGGAAGATACAAATACCATAAATATAAATTCTGAATCCTACAACAATGCAACA